AGGACATGACGCCGCTCAGCGAGCAGGAGATGAACGCCCACCTGGCCGAGGAGTCGCGGGTGCGCCGCCGGCTGCTCCACGGGGGTCTTGCCGGGCGGGGTCGGCGGAGGGAGAGAAGCTGGCCCTGCAGCGGCAGCAGCGCAGGCCACAGCGCGGTGCCCTGAGCCCTGGGACACAGGAGTTCTGAGTCTGGGACGCCGCTTCGGCCCAGGAGGGTTGGGGGGCGGCCATGGTGGGAACCGGGGGCTCCGGCCTCGGCTGGGCTGGGTCCTGTTAGACGGCTGGGGTGACTGCGCCTTGTCCCACCTGCTGCTCCTTCCTCCTAGAAATACCAGAACGAGTTCAACACCAACGTGGCCATGGCAGAGATTTATAAATACGCCAAGAGGTATCGCCCCCAGGTGAGCGGCCAAGGGTGTGCACCTGCCCTCTGCTTCCGCTTCCGTCCACCTCCATTCTCCCCGCCTCCTGGTGTCTGGTGGTGGACACTGGGCCATGTGTTTTGCCCGGGGTCAGAGGCGGGGGCCTCCAGCTGCAGCCCCGCTGACCCGGTTGCTCTGCCCTCAGATCATGGCTGCTCTGGAGGCCAACCCCACAGCCCGGAGGACGCAGCTGCAGCACAAGTTTGAGCAGGTGGTGGCCTTGATGGAAGACAACATCTATGAGTGCTACAGCGAGGCCTGAGCCGGGCGGGGAGGAGCCTGCCGAGCCGCCGCTGCCGCCGCCCAGAACCACGGCGCCACCTGGCCCCCCTGTATTGGATTCCCTGTGCCTCTGGCTCAGGCTGGGAAGTGACCAGCAGAGATGGCTTGGAGCAGGGAGAGTGGGGAGCCGGGAGGGGCCCATCTGAGCCAGGCAGAGGCGCTCCAGCTCTGACCCTCAGGGCACCTCCATGCCCTCCGACTGCCCCCAGCTTGGCGTCTGGGGTGGAGCCCTGAATGCCGCAGCCAGTTCCTGGCCTGGCCCACCCTGTCCACCAGCGCAGGGGGCAGCTGCTGGGCACAAAGCGGGGAGAAGAGGCCGCCTGGCCCAGAAACACTACCTCATGCACACTGGCGCAAGGGGAGGTCTCCTGGAAGCAGCTGGCCGTCAGTTCCTGCTTCAGCCACCGAAACGCTGTCTCCACCTCCCCTCCCCCAGAGGGGACCCTGGCGGTGGGCGGCTGGGCGCAGTCAAGCCGGTCAGATTCCTGCTGCTCCGGCGGTGATGTTGGTGGAGTGGGCAGTGCCCGCTGCCCCGGAGGCGGCTTGGGGGCCCCTCTCCCGAAAGGGAGGGGTGGGTGGAGAGGGGTAGGTGCTGCGGCCTCCTGGCCTCCGGGCAGGGGAGGGGTTGAGACGCACCAAGGCTGTATGTAGCTGGGCTACTCGATCTTGCTGGAAGTGTTTCTAAAGATAGCACCACTTTTTGTTGTTGTTGTTTTTAAAAAAAGCTTTTATATATTAAAAAAACTTCTCACGCACCAACTGTGAACGGCTGCCGCCTGCACAGGGGACCTGGGGAGGGGTCCCCAGGGGCCCCCATGCAACACTGGAAGTGGCTGCGCCGGCGAGCGGCCTGTCCCTGCAGCATGGACCCTCGTGGGCAGAGCCGGCCGTCAGCCCCTCGCTAGCCCTGACTCAGAGCCCCGCAGGGGCTGGGTTGGTGGGGGCAAGACTCTCTGGAACCTTCTTTATAATAAAAGTCTGATGGGGAAAACCTACCGTGGGCTCCGACCTTTGTCCTGAGACACCAGGGGATGTGGGGGACCCTTGGTGCCTGCAGCGTGACTGCCTGGCTCAGCTTGGAGCAGGCAGATTCAGTGAGGCGCTGGGCTGCGTGTGTGGGGGCCCCCAGGAAGATGTCCCGGCTGCCCGGCCCTGCTGCTTGTAGCAGGCCTCTGAGGCAGGAGGGGACACTAAGTCTCAGGAGGTGGGAGGGAGGCTCCCTCCAAGCCAGAGTCCCCACAGTGGCCCCCAGAGGACTGGAGGGTCCAAGCTGATGCTCACGTAGAGGCCCCGAACTTCTTGGTGACCTTGAACAACACGGGCCCCGGTTTTCACACTGGGAGAGGCCAGCACATTTGCCAAGGCCAACGTCACCCCAGACTTCCTCGCGCGGCAGGTTGTTGGCGATAAGGAATCCAAGCTGAGGAAGTCCCCCCAACACAACCCCCTCCAGCCCACCCACCTGGCCGTGGGGCTGGGGTGGGGCTCATCCCCCAGCCCCGGGAGAGCCCACCCCCGAATTCACGGCAACTTCAGTTACTGTTTTCCTTTTATGAAGGCAAAGCAGTGCACCACATTTATCAAGAGTAAGAACTAGAACAAAAAATCCGTGAAATCTAAACAGAATCCCACCACATCCCAGCTCCAGAATTAATGAGCACAGAACAGTGAGTTGAAAAGTAAGCAGTCCTTTTCCTTAAAAATAGCTCTCTCCCCTAATGGCTTGGGTGGAGAGAGGCTTCATCTCTCGAATTTTCTATTCTGAGCCCTGATTCTTTCTTTAATATTAAGCGGCAGATTTTTCTAACGGAAATGATCAGCCCATCTGATAGGGTTTTTTGGCACCGGGGAGGGTGTGATTCTACGGTGAAGACTTGTTTCCCAGGGAGCACACAAAGCAGCAAGGGAGCAAAGGCCGCGCTGACCCTGGCCAGGCAAAGCTGCTGGGTCCCCCGGCTCGGACGGGCGGCGCCAAGGGCTGTCACCAGGATCACCGTGGACATGACTGCTCTGCCACCTGCTTCCGCCCCGCCCCCACGCACCAATATGTCAGGAACATCTTTCGATGTCATTAAGTATTCTGCTGCCTGTCTTAATGTCTGATTAACATGCGGTTCTTTCTTGAAATGGGGAGATGTGCTTGTCAGCGGAGGCAGCCTCAGTTTCGGGGGTCACTTCCCAGCACCGAGAAGGGGCCCCGGTCCGTCTGGAGCCCTGAACGCTTGCCTGGCACCTGTGGCCGGGAGCGGGGGTGCCTGCTCCCCACCTGAGATTCACGAGAGGGTGGAGATCGCCCCGGGCTGTGTCCTCCCGCTGAACTCGCTGCAAGGCCGGGAGGTTTCGGGCCTGGGTGCCAGCCGCTGCCCAGGGCGGCAACGCTGACTTGTCCTGTGTCACCCAGGGAAGGCGGCTCCCTCAGTCGCAGGCCAAACTTCGAAGCAGAGGAGGCAGAGGCGGCCCCTGCTGGGGAAACCGCAGCCCCACCACCTGCTCACAGTGGCCCTCGGAACCACCGCCGGCAGCTGCGCCACAGGTGTCCCTGGGAAGCCGGCACAGGCACAGCAAAATACTCTCCTGGGAGACTACCGCTTACCCATTGGCCCCGCCCTCCCCAAGCCCCGCCCTGTAACCTTTGACCCTTCTCCTTGCCCCCTGCCCTCCCTGGCTCAGGTCTCCTATCCCCTGGTGGAAGCCGCACCCTGGCTATGGCCACAGTGATCCCAGCAGCCTGCTCTGCCCTGGGGCTCATTCGCCCCTCCCCCAGCCTCACCTCTGCTACACCCATCACTGGGAACCCCTCCCTGTGCAACCACCGGAAGTCCTTTTTCTTGTCCTCAGGCTCCTTGCTTTTGACCTTGCCCAGAGCGCCCACTGCCAGGGGCTTCCGAACAGACACCCTAGCCTCCGCACTCAGCACTCAGCCCAGGCTCAGAGGGCCTGGGGCTGGGGACCAGCAATGCCCTAGGGGCTTCTATTTCCTGCAGCCAGGCCCCACGCTGGCTTTTCAGTTTGTTTATTTTTTAAATACTTATTTTGAAAGGCAGTTACAGAGGGGTGGGGGGAGGGATCAACCTCCCATCAGCTAGTTCACTCCCCAAATGGCTACAACAGCCGGGGGTTGGGTCAAGCTGAAGCCAGGAGCCAGGAGCTCCATCCGGGTCTCCCACGTGGGTGCAGAGGCCCAAACACTTGGGCCATCATCAGCTGCTCTCCCAGGTGCATCAGCTGGGAGCTGGCTGGGGAAGCTGCCCCGTGCTATGGGGGTGTCAGCCGGGGCTGGGAGGTTCCTTTCCAGGAACACCCACTCCCAGAGCCGCTGGCTGGCCTGCAGCTCAGGAAGCCGGGGCGCCTCAGGTCTCCTCCACAGCGGCCTGGGTTTCCCCACAGCACGCTGGCTCAGGTCGGGAAACCAAAGCTGAACACTGATGGGGAGACAGCCGGTACTGTCACAGCCTGGCTGCCACTGTGTGCAGCTGCAGGCCCACAGGGAAGTGAATGAAGGGGCTGGGACCCAGACTCCCCCTCCTCACTTGAGGAGCGTCACTGAGGTTGACGGAGTTTCCATCACTGCCCTCTCCCTCCAGGATCTGGCCGCCTGGGCCTTGGAGCATGTGCCTACCCCAGGACCTTTGCACCTCCCCTTGCTGCTGGCTGCCAGTCTCCTCCCTCCAGACACAGGCTCCTGCTTGGAAAGGCCTCCCCCGCCGGGCCACAGGATATCAGTCGGCCCTGTCTATCCCACTGGAGCCCCTGCCCCTGCTTCTCTGCAGGGCGCAGACCCCAGCCCCACCCCCGGGGAGCTCCACAACCAGGGTTGAAAGATCCTCAGCTCTGCCCAAGGGTCTCAGCTCCACCTTCTCACAGCAGCTCTCGAACACACACACTCCTTGTCAGGCACACACTGCACCCCGCCAGGGACCCTCCTCAGCTCGGCCCTGCCCCAGGACCAAGTCCACATGTGCCCATCCCCACGCTCCTCTCAGAGCCACGGACCCCTGCCCTCAGCCACACCTTCCAGCCCTACTGCTCCCCAGGGACCTCGGCCTGGAAGGCCCTTCCCTCCTGTATCTGGTACCAAAAGCCACCTCCTCCTGGAAGCAGTCCCAGATCTGACACCTGTGGGGCTCCCACAGGCCCCTGTTGGTCCCAACATCCATGCCCCCAGCTGCTGACGCCATACAGCCTGCCTGCCCCCCACTGGCCTCGGTGCCAGCCAGGTAAACAGTAGGTGCTCAGGGGATGTTAATGAGGCACCAGTGGCCACCTCCTTGCATCTCAGCCTCTGGCCACGTCAACTTGCAAGGAAGAAGAAACAAAGCCTTTATTAATAAATAGGTGGCAGTGAGTGAGATAGAGCATGGCTCCGTGGGAAATAAAAACACGCACGTGTGTGTCCTCACCCGCGCCCCGTGCCCTCGGCTTTAGCCTTCTTGCCGGACGCCTTGGACGCTGGGGCCTTGGAGGACAAGCCAGGCTTTCTCTGGCTCCTGGGGCCCTCGGGCTTCCCAGACAGGGGCACAGGCCCCGCCTTGGACCCACGGCCCTTAGAGGGGGTGGCAGCTTTGGCTTCGGGCCCAGCTCCCACCCCGGGGACCACCCCTCGAGGGGCCTTGGCAGTGGTCTTCTTTCCGGACGGGGAGGCAACACCATTCTTGACCTGCAAGTAAGCCCAGCTCAGAGCCCACGGGGGCCGGGTTGAAATGCCAGCTCCGCACGGCTGTGGGTCAGCAGCCCCGCCTCTCCCAGCCTCAGCCCCTGGGCCAGAAACGGGGACCGTGGCACCTCCAGGGTGCCTCATGTTTTGCAGGAACAACAATGGCCCTCCCACCCTGGCTGACCCCGGCCCTCCCCGGGACCCCTACCTTGTTGGCAGTGGGTTTGGAGCTCTTGCTGCCAGCGCTGGTTCTCCCGTGGGCCTTGGCATGTCCTGCAAGGGCGGGCGGGGGCCTGTGGGAGGCACTCCTTCCAGGAGGAGCGGCCGCAGTCCCATGCTTCCTGGGCCCCAGGCCAGCACTCGGATACCCACAGCCTCTGAGACCGGGGCTCTGAGCCTTGCGGGCCTAACTGCCCACACCTGGGTCCCCCTTGCAGGGTGCCTAGAGAGTTCCCGGGACCCCTGACTCAATGCTTGGCCCTGGGGCGGGGGGGACACCCTGCTGTGCATGTGCCCCCCCGCCCAAGGCTCCCAGAGGTCTTTAGCTTGTGCTCCACGTGGCAGCCAGGGTGAGCGTTGGAACAGCACAGCCTTGAGCTGCCTCCGGCCTGCACCTTCCCCTGTCTCCCCACCGCCCTCCAGATGGGCTCCCATCTCCCGGCTGTCCATCGGCTTCTCCCTCCTTCCGCTGTGGTTCCTAAGAGTGCTGCCTCCTTTATACCTCCAGGCCTTTGCACAGGCTGTGCTCCAGCCTGGGACACCTCCTCCAGGAAGCCTGCCTCCTGATTCAGGGGCGAATCAGGCTCCAAGCTCTCTGGCCTTCCTTGCCCCTTCACAACCCTTGAAATATCCAACTGCTGCCCACTCGCAGCCCCCAGCCACCGCGGGCTCTCTGTCTCTCCAGGTCAAGCATGCACCTAGGACACCTTCAACTAGAAAAGCAAGTCCCTGCCTCCCGCCCCCAGCCCCTCACGCACTCACACACTCACCTTGGCTTTGCCCGTGGCCTTTGACCTTGGACTTCCCTTTGCGCACACTGGGACTGGCAGAGGCCTGCGTGGCCTTGTCTAACTCCCCGGACACCTTTCTGGCCTGGCCCACTTTGGCCTCCGCATCCTTGGCCTTGGCCTTCCCACCTTTCTTGGGGACCTTCTTGGCTGCACCTGGTTTGGGAGGAGCCCTCCCCGACCCGTCCGGCTTCTTGGGTGCCCGTTCCCCCTGGCCCTGGCTGGAAGGGCCCGGCCTCGCCTCCCTCGGCTTCTCAGGGCCCGGCTCCTCGGCCTTCCTGGCCTTCCTGGGGGCCGCCGGGGCGGACGTCTTCCTGGGCTGCGTCCTCTTGGGCTTGGGCACTAACTGCAGGGAGAGAGCGGGGCTGGGACAGGGAGCAGAGCTCCGGGGGGCTCCTGCCCTATACCCCTGGAAGATGCAGGGCAGGAAGCCCCCTCCCAAATGGGGCTAGGGATGGGCGAAGGCTCGGCTGCTGGAGGCACCACCTCCTCCCACCGACCATACTACCCTCAGCTTCCCACGGGCTCTCAGCTCCACCTACTCTGCCCCACCCCCTTTACCTCTGCACAGCCCCCTGCTCCCCTCCTTGCTGCCTCCCTCTTCTGCCCTCTCCAGCTGGGCCACTCCCCACTAACCTCAGTCTTCTCACCTTTACAATGGGCACACACAGAGGGTGTGAGCACTCCCGGAGCCCAGCTCCGAGGCTACTGCTCCCCTGCCCTCAGACCCCCTCGATTCCCTGCTGCCACCCAGCAGCATACACATCCCGAACTCCAGGACACAGGGGGCTCTGTCCCCGCCCCAAGCCCACTCCCCAGCGCCCCCTCCTGCTCTCCTCCTTGCCCCGCCCATCCACCTGGCCCTGCTGTGACTTGAGTCCCAGCTCCAACCCCTGACCAGCAACTCCACGAGGAGGACCCCTGGGACAGGCCACACAGCAGCCGTCAGAGTGACTGCTCTGTGCCAGGTGTCGGGCAGGGTGCAGGGGTGACCAGTAGACCTGTGCCTGGGTCCTTGCCATCTTTCTGGTGGCCAACGGCAGCCAGGAGGCCGGGGCTGCCCCCAGCTCTCCCTTCCTTGAGCCCCCTGACTAGGCAAGGGGACAATGGGGTGGCGCTGGGCAGGGCCAGCTGTTGCACGGGTGGAGCAGGGTGAAGGGAGCCCCACGGTGGCAGGGCACACTTGGCAGGAAGGAGCTGGGTGCCCAGCACCCAGATGCAGTCCCTGGGCTCAGAAAGCACCCGGATGGAGACACACAGACGCCACGAGGGTGCCCAGGGCAGGCGGGAGCCCAGAGGGGCACAGGCACCGCCCCCCGCCCCCGGGGAGAGGGCATCTGTGCAGAATGAAATGGCCAGCACCCAAAGGAAGACAGGAGGGCAGAGGCCGGGCGGAGGCAGTGGCGCAGAGGCTGGGACGAAAGCGGGCAGGGCCCCCCACCTCCCCTCCAGCTGTCCCCTCCGGCGTCTCACTTTGAAGCTGCCGGTGGCGCCCTTGGCCTTGGAGTTGAGCGGCCTGGTGAGGAGGCCGCGGCGCACGCCCGTGGCCAGGGCCTGCTTCAGCAGGTACTTGAAGCGCAGTCCGTTGACGCTCGGGTACTTGTGCAGGATGTACAGCTTGATGGCCACCACCGACGTGCCCCGGCGCTGCTCGCCCGCCTGCAGCGCCTCCAGCACCATGCGCAGCATCGGCGGGTTGCGGCGTCCCATGAGGACGGTCCTGCGGCTGCAGCCTGTGGGGTGCACAGCGGCTCATCACCCTGCGCCCGGTCACAGTCCCCTAGCCAGCTCCGCGGGGCCGGGGGCAGGTGCAGCCCTGAGTGCCCCTGAGGACAGGCAGAGTGGGCTGCCGTCTCCTGGGATGCTCACCTCACCTCTGGTTTTAAACAATCAATTATTCCTTTTAAGAAACTGAAGTCAGTCTGGCCCATTTTCCAGACCTAATGACCTCATACGGCACCAGCAGCAGGGAGAAGGGGCTGGCAGGGGCTCTGGGGCATGCCCCAAGCGTCTTCTACACGTCAGCTCCTGGTGCAGCCTGTCGATTAAAGACAGGTCCCTTAGGAGACCTCCCTGCCAAGGGCAGCAGGACCGTGCTCAGGCTGAGCCCGCCCTCAACAGCCCAGCTGGGAAGCAGGCAGCCGACCAGGGTGTGCGCTGGAAGGAAATCTGATAGGGACCCAACTACTTCAGGTGCGTTGATGGTAGGGCAGCTACTTTTGAAAATGTCTCGAGTTGTTGGAGACAAACGCTAGACTACTTACAGAGGGAAGGATACCTCTGGGGTTTGTCTCTAAATAACTACCCCCCCCCACCCCCAGTGACACCAGCTGGTGACTGTGGAAGTTGGTGACAGGTGCAGGGGGCCAACTCAGACCATTCAGGGGTCTACTTTTGCATCTGCTTGATTGTTTTTGTAGTAACAACAAGAATCTCCTCCTGGGTCTTGGACCAGGAGAAACGGCAACACAGCCACTGCACTAGTGTAGGTCCACCCAGGGAACCTTACACAACCCCAGAAAGGAACAAAGGACAGCTACACGCCGCCACGGGGCGAGCCTCCCAACAGGTGGCTGAGCCCAAGAACTATGTCACCAAAAGCCATCTACTGTAAGATTCGGTTTCTACAAAATGTTTGGAGTAGGCAAATTCATAGGCTGAGCGCTTGCCAGGGGCTGGGGCCAGGCGGGGTGGGGGTGACCATCAAGGGGTACAAGTTACAAGTTTTCTTGCAGAGATGAAAATACCCTCCATGGGTTGTGGGGGCGTTGCACAACTCCATGAAAACATTCAAGCCACTTGACAGTTTAAATGGGGGAGTTAGGGAGCAGAGAGTGAAAATGACTCCTCAGAAAGTCACAAAGTTGCAAATGAGACTGGGTGGGGGCGGGGAGCCAAGAAGCTGTCAGTCATGGGTGTGTGTGTGTGCCTGTGTGTGGAAAGAAACTGCAACATGAAACTGGATTTCAATGTGGCGATTGGAAATGTTGATATGATCAGTTTGCAAAAATGTGAAGACTTAAAAGAGGCATCAGTTGGCCACAATATATTTAGAAAATAATTTAAAAAAAAATAGAGAAAGAATCCTGTACCTCAAACTCCAGGTCTAGAGCAAAACTGCCAAGAGACTCAATCCGATTTCCCTCCCACCGCCTCCTGGCCAGGAAGAGCTCCCAGCCCGGGAAAGCTCATCTTGGGACCAAAGCCTGCGGGTTGGCGAGTCCTGGCTCAGTCATTCCCAGGCCCCGGAGTTTCGTCCGCTCTCTGGGTCTCAGTCTTCCCATCTGCATGGTGGGAGTGTGGCCCTCTGCAGGGGTCTGAGCCTTCACAGTCTGTGTTATGGGGTTCCCAAGGGGTCCTCAGCCCACATTCAGGCGGTAGCTCCAACCCCTCAGTGTCAAACCATGCCCTTGTCCCAGGGAGCCATGCCCAAGGGTCTTCCCAGGACTGTCGCCTCCCTCCCCTCAGCCTCTCCTTCAACAATTATTCAATGCCTGCTGTATACCAGGATGTCCAGAACAGAACCCATCCTCTCCACTCCCCTAAACCTGTCGAGCCAGAAGGAGGACCTGAACTCCCAAGTGCTCCGCCAGCCCTGCCACCCCAGGGCCTTTGCCTGTGCTGTGTCTGCCTCTGCTCACCCAGGCAGACCTTATTCAGCCTCAGAGCACCCCCCCGTTCCCAAGTGAGAGCGAGCCACTGTGCCCTGGGCTCCTGGAAGCCTCTGCCCACTCCCTTCCTCGAGGGGAGACCCCACTTGCAGGGCCACCTCCCCTAGGAAGACCTCCCTGACCTCTGCTCATCGGTGGGAGGCCACCTCTGCCTCTGGCAGCCCTCTGGGCCAGCACACTGAAGCCCAGGCCGCAGCACTGGCAGAGCGGCCACCCCAGACAGACTGGGGGCATCTCAAGGGAAAGCTATGTCTGGTTCACCCGCGGAGACCCTCCTGTCCAAGAGAAACGCTGGGTTGTTTGTTGACTGAAAGTCAGGATGCGGCCGAAACCTAAAGCCCAGCCGGCCCTGAAAGGCGCCTTGGCCCAGACAGGAAATGGGCTCCAGCTGGGCCGGCTTTAGCCCCCAGGCCCTGCTTGGCCTCAGCAGTAGCCTTCGTCCTTCTCCCAAATGGTGGTTGGGCTCAGCAGCCCCTGGCGTGGGTGCTGGAACCAGGCTGGGAGAGGAGAAGAAGGAGGAGGGTGGGAGGACGAAGGCCCAGGAGAGCCCCGGCAGCGGGTGGTATCCTCGCTCACCTGGCTGTGTAGACGCTGGCAGCTTGGATGAGCCTGCTGCGGAGGTCAAAGAGGTAGAGGTGTCGCTGGGGACGCTCTTGGGATCCATCCAGCCAGCCAGGTGCACGTAGCCAGGCTGCCCCAGGTGCGAGGCTGCTGGGCCTGCCCGCACTGCTTAAATACCAGCGGCCCTCATTGGCCGGGAGCGCTCTGAGCCGCTGATTGGGGCAGGAGGGCTGGCCCGGGGCTTGGCAGCCCTCCCTTCCGCACGGGAGCCCCAGTGTGGGCCCCTGCTCCTGGGTGGCCTTGTGTGGGTCACTGGCTTCTCCAGGTCCCAGCCCTCCGCTCCCCAGGGGCTGGGGGTGCTAATGGGGAACTGGGGGCACCTGGGTGACCAGTCCCTCCAGGCTAACAAAGTGCCGCACCAGCTTAGGCTCCTGTTTTCAGGCCACCGCTGGCCTTGGTTTCTCAAAAATGACAATTGAAGGTGGAAGTGCTGTTGGCAAAGGGGAGATCGGCCAGGCCAGGCCAGGCGGCAGCCTCTGCTGACGTCAGCAGGGTGCTTGGCACCTGTGCTTGCCTTCTGCCTTCTGCTTTGAGAGAGAGATCACTAAGGGAGGAGAGAGGAACTGAAAGCTATGATTACTTAGCAAAAGTTTTCATGAACAAGGATGAAATCCCCAGGGAAAGCGCACGGAGACTATGAACAAGCCACGCACCCTCCTGGCGGCTGCTCACCCTCCCGGCGTTCAGGCACATCTGAAGGGAGCAGGATCAGAAGCAGAGCAGCATCCCAGGCACCTGCCCCGGGGGAACGTCCAGTGGAAGCCATGATGAGAGCCCATCAAGGTGCCAGCAGTGGGCGTGTCAGCAAGGATCAGGACCCGCTTTCTATGCCCCTAGCCACTCCCACGGGTGACGAGGCTGAGTGAGTGTCACAGCAGCAGGGCGCCCCACATCCGAGCGTCTGTCCACACCGCAGGTCAGCATGGGGTGACACCATGGCTGCCGGGTAGGGGAGCTGCGTAGTTGGGATCTGGTTTGAGTGTGACCCCAAAGCATGGTCGCAGTGAGCAGAGCCACGCAGCAGGTGCACAGTCCCGCACCGCCGTGCGTGAGACCTGGCGGATGGACACTCGTCCTGGAGGCCTGCTTTGCCCTTGCTGCCTGCTCTGGCCTCAGGAGAGATGGCAGTCCCCGACCCCTCCAAGGCGAGGGGCCCTTCTTGGGGGGTGCCCCAGCCCCTGGGCTTGCTCCCCGGGGACCCTGAGCCCTGTGAAGTGGCCCAGCCCTGACTCTTGAGCTCTGGGAGAGGGGCAGGGGCTGTGGCTGGCTGCTTTCTGGAGGCCTCCCTGTTGCCCAGTGTGGCCTGGCACACAGTAGGTGCTCAGCACCCGTGGCTGTGACGCTGCGGGAGCCTCTGAGCCGGCTGAGTAGATGGAGGCCTGAAAACTGCGCCCTGGGTCCGGGCCAGAGCAGGAGTGAGCCAAGGCGAGCAGCGAGCGGAAGCTGGCATGGGCGGGGGCGGCGATTTTGATCACATCTGCGGGGTGCTTCCAAGAACTGAGCGATAGAGCAACACTCAGCGACAGAAACATCCCCACGGCTCCGTCTGAAACCCTCTCCCGGCTGTGCCAGGGTAGCGTTTCGCATTCGAAGGCAAGGAGTTCGAGAATGTGTGTGCCATCTACAAACTCCTCCAGAGGGTTGCCTTTTGTCGGGAGGAGGCTGGTGATGAGCTTCAGGCTGCAGGGGAGGGCATGGAATGGGACCAGTAGGGGCCCCCCTGGAATGCCGGGTGGAGTGACGGCTCTGTTCTGGCTTCCCGGGCGGGCTCAGGGTCTGCCCCCGGCCCCTGCACTCCTGTAATGTCAGCACATTTCTGACTCCCTTTCCTGATGATGGGCTGAGATTTGCAGAGAGGGCTGGGTCCACAGAGCAACAGCTGCCATGTCCAGTGTCTATGAAAATACTCTAGGTTTGCTGTATTTTTATTTCTGCAGGAAGAAGCCAAAGTTCGGGTCCTTGGCCTTGACCCGAAGGCCCTCTGTGTTAGCTAAGAGGACATGGAAAGCTCCTCCTTTCTCTGAAATCTACAACCAGAGGAGGCACCGTCATTTCCAAGTGCACGCCAATGGCTGCACCTTAATGCGATGCCACCAGGATGCCAGGGAAACCGGGAGGTGCTGGGCAGGGATGTGTCCAGCTAGAATTCAGGGGAGGAGCGAAGACTTGCTTCCCCCTTGCTCTGAGACCTCCCTCCGCGTGTTAATTTCTCTCCAAGTCTGCCTTGCGCCACAGCAGAGTACAGCTCCTTAGAACCCGGTTCTCCTCCCGATTGGGAGCTCCTGGCTGCTGCAGCCGTGTATCCTCCACACCAGCAGTGGAGGCCTGGAGCAGTCTGGGGACTTGCCCCGAGGCCACCCAGCTCCACTGTCTCCACTGTCTCCGGGGAGGGGGGTGGGAGTTCTGGGGCCCTGGAGCTGGCCAGGGCACAGCCCAGAGCCCTCTCCCCCCAGTTCACCTCTCAGTCCCCAGCGTGTCTAGCCTGGGACCATTTCCTTGGCATTGGCTCAACAGAGCGGCGACTGCACACAGCAGGCGCTCCATCATCCTGCTGCTGCTGCGGCCTGGGGCCAGGTGGGAGCCCCTGGCAGCTTAAGTCAGCTGCTCTCTCCTACACACGCAGCCCCCTAAGGGGCTATCAGACCAAGGGTGAATTAAGGACGTGGAGAGGCTCTCCTTTCCTCCAGGAAGAAACAGACAATACTCTGGTTTTGGGGCCAGTGTTGTGACGTAGCGGGTTAAGCTGCCACCTATGGTGCTGGCATCCCGTGGGAGTGCTGGTTCATATCCCAGCTGCTCCACTTCCCATCCAGCTCTCTGCTATGGCCTGGGAAAGCAGTGGAAGATGGCCCAAGTCCTTGGGCCCCTGCACCCGCATGGGAGACCCAGAAGAAGCTCCTGGCTCCTGGCTTTGACCTGGCTCAGCCTTGGCCATTGTGGCCATTTAAGGAGTGAAGTGGTGGATGGGAGATCTCTCTCTCTGTAACTCTTTCAAATAAATAAATAAATCTTTGTAACCCATTTAAAAAAAAACCAAATAAAAGAATGTTCTCGTTGTAGAGTAAATCTGCCCTGTAAACGTGAGGCTGCGGCGAGAGGCCCAGTGCTCAGTGCTCAGAGTAAGTGGGCTGGGTGAGGTGAGGTGTGCTGGGACTGGCTACCCGGGACACAGCGTCCGAAATGGAGAGCGAGACCATGGAACACCCCCACGGCCACCTTCCCCCCCCACCCCGTGTCCCAGGTGGGAGGCAGGCCTGGTCTAGCCACGTGCCCCGATGTCACCAATGGCAAGACGCTTCCTCCCCTTGGGACCCTTGCTGCTTCTGCCCACGCGGCTTGCTCATGCCCTCCTCCTCCTCCTCACAGCACCCCTGGTTTTCCTGGGGGGATCCTACCTCGCCCACCCCGAGGCTGCACAGCTTCTGTGAGGTTGACACTAGCATGGCCCGCAGGGGTGATCAGGTGATCCAGGTCCAGCCAATGGGAGGACGGTTCTTCAGGACAGTGGTGGGGTGGGCTTAGGAGTGATCAGGTGACCCAAGCCTGGCCAATCAGAGCCCCTTCTGGGAGGAGAAGCCCAGTCGGCAGGGTTTGCTGAGCCTGGAGCTGCCAGGGGCAGGTTCTGCCCCTTCCTGGGAACAGTCAGCCCTTGAACGAGGCCGCTTTGGGTCAGATTTCCTATCACTAGCAACCAAAGGCATCCCGAGTGACATGACCAAGAGGCACGGCGCAAAGACACGGTGGTCCTGAGGGTCTTCACAGCCTCCTGCCCCACCTCCCCGCCTCAGAGAGGGGGTCACTAGCAGGAGTCTATCTCCATCCCACGCCCCTTGGGGAAGGGGTCTCTGGTGAGGCCCGTGCTGAGCCATGGCTCAGCAACACCAAAGTCTCTCACCACCTACCGCGTGCCAGAAAGTGGGGGCCGCACAGAGTCCACCCCTCAAGGCCACATTTAAGGTCCCCTTCTGCAGCTAAGGAAGTCAGAGAGGTGACAGAACTTGCTTGCAATTTCATGGGTCACCTTGGTCTCTAGGACTCCAAACTCAGGGTTTTTCCTGTTCCCAGGACTCCTCCTCTGACCCCTACCCCCAAGGGGCCCGGCCGGCTTGGCTCCACCCATTGCTTGATCCAGAACCCCCAAGGTCAGGTGGGAGCCCCCCAGTTTCAATCCAATGCTAAAGAGCTGGAGAGTAACAAAATCCACCACCATTAATGCCAAGCATAGGAGCTGAGCTTTTAATGCCTCGATTTGCCTTTGTCTCCAGGCAGAACTGGGGAAGGCTAGAGTTTCCGGCTTTGGTTACGTTGAGGAGGGGCAGTTACCGAGGCAGCTCAATTCTGAGCAAAGACTCCAGATTGGAGAATGGGCCAGCAGCTGCTGAAGACAGGGCATCGGCCAGCCGGGGAGCTGGAAACTGAGCCCCACGGACGTCCCAAGGAAGGGGGACCCAGCCGAATGTCTAAGCTCTTGGAGATAAGGGTGACATCAGGGACTCAGCTCTTCATTAAATGTGGGAGGTGAGCAGGGCTTCTGGGAGCTCCATGCTAACCCAGAGATGCCGGGGCTCCCAGAGGCTGCGAGGGAGGCCTGCCCTTCTGCAGGCTGCATTGGGAAGGGGAGGCCCTGGGCCTGGGCCTCACACTGCAGGGGCCACGCTAGGCCCGGAGGCTGTTCTATCGGGCCTGGGGCTGCACTCGGCGTCCTGAGACTGTCCCTCTCTGAAGCCCAGCCCCCAGTCCTGGGCTGGCCTTGATTCCTGGCTAATTTTGTAAAACCTCTGGAGGCTGGGTGAGACCCACCCTCTGAATGCCTGGGGCCCTGCCCAGTTCCAAATGGTCACTTGTCGAGAGGAGAGGATCACATGCATTGTATTAATTGATCTTATTCATAACATTGGCTACAGTCTGTACCGCTCCTAACTATTTACAGAGCGCTTCAGCTCACACGGGCGCACACACACACACACACACACACACACACACACAGCAGCCAGGAGGCCGGGCAGGGCGTGAGGATTCCCATTTTATGGGGGAAGCAAGTGGGACCCCAGGGAGAGAGATACAACTTCTGCAACTCGTCAGCCAGGTGCGAGCTGCTTCCGTCAAGGGAGCTGGAGACAGCGGGTGTGTTCTCCCGGCCCACTCGTCCCTTCATTCATTCCTCCACTCACTCCTTCATCCATTCTGTCCTTCCTCCATCTAGCATTTATTAAGCACCTACTGTGTGCCCCGTTCTGTGCTAGATTCTGAGCCCTAAGCTGGGACACTTTTCCAGAGAGCAAGAGTTCTTTTGTTCCTGAGAGAAGAGTTAGGGGAGGAGGGAAACAGGCAGGTCCCATGGGCCCCTGGGAACCTGGGACTCCAGGTCGGGGTCTCGGTGGGTGCCTCGTCTTGGGCTGCCCCGCTGAGAGGGGAGCATCATTTTTCTCATTTTTTTTTCTTTAGGGGAAAACAACCCTCTCACGGAGCCTGCGAAACTTGGTTCTGACAGGCGCCGCTCCTGGTGGGGTGGCTGTGGCTGGGGGTGGGGTGTGAGGGATGGGAGACTCCTACAGTCGGCCACGGAGTCCCTGGCAGTGCTTAGGCCGGGGCCACCTGGCTGGTCTCCGTCTTGGAAGCGGTGGCAGAGGCCTCGTCGTCACCCAGTGGGTTCTTGCCGCAGCAGATGGTGGTGAGCATGCAGTTCCGGAACTGGAAGGCAAGAGGCATGGGTCAGGCTGCGAGGCCGCGCCGTGTGGAGCCGGGGTGGCGTGGTCAGTGAGACCTGCCTCCGCGCCCTTCCCCGCTCGGCCCTCTCACGCCAGTCTGGGTCTCTGGGGGCAACCTTGCATCTACATCTTGCCCCCAGAGATGCCAGCGGCCAACCCCAGGGGCTCGGCCACGGAGGACACTGCAGGGCCCTCTGAGTCCGGGATTCTGCTGTTTCTAAGCTTGAGGCCACCAAAGCCCAAAGAAGGGAATGAAGCCGTCCAAGGTCATGCAGGACCCGATCTGCCTGACTCGAAGGGCCATGGGTCCCCCACTTGTGGCTTCCGCAGAGAAGCCACTGGCTTCTAGCCTTTCAGCTCCTTGCTAAGCTTTCCGGAGACCAGCACCATCTTACCCCCAGGCTCAGGTCACGTGAGCCTTAAAGTAGAGTCCAGAACCAGGGTGAGGGGTGCTTCTCACACATGAGCAAGCACTGGCCCTCCCCCGACCCCCAACAAGGTCCTGGGCCTCCGCCAGGCCAGCCAGGCAGAATCTCAAAGGCGGGGCCCGACAACCTGCCCTTCTCACAAGCTCCCAGCTAAAGGGGGTGTGGCCTCCAGGAGCCCCGGGGGAGGCCCCCTCCCCTCCCCAGCCTGCAGGCACCTGCTTGTTCATCATGATGTAGATGACAGGGTTGTAGATGGAGGAGCTCTTGGCGAAGAACGCCGGGATGGTCATGAAGATGGGCCCGAAGTTGGAGCCCTGGTGGGTGAAGATGTAGAACGCCACGCTGGCGTAGGGCACCCAGCAGATCAGGAAGGCGATGACCATGATGATGACCATGCGGGTCACTTCCTTCTCTGCCTTCTGCGTGGTGGCCGACTCCTGCTGCTGGGCAGCTGCCTGCAGGGACACAAGGCCGGTGTCCGGGCTGCGGTGCCCAGCACCTGTCCCCAGCACCCAGCTCGGGGCCCTGGAGGGCAGAGGAGGAGACTAGACCGCCTGCGGGGCAAGGCCAGCCCCGACCGTACCTCCTTGACAGTAAAGACGAGCTGCCCGTAGCAGAAGAAGATGATGATCAAAGGGATGGTGAAGTGGACCACGAACATATAGATGACGAACGACTCGTTGTTGACCTCGGGCTTGAGCGTGTAGTAGTCGATTCCGCACGAGCACTGCATGCCCTCAGGGATGTACCTGAGCGTGGGGCGGGGCTCATCAGGGAGACTGCCCACCCCCCACAGAGGGGCTTGGGATTGGCCCAGCCGATGCACTGGCTGGTCACTAGCCCCTCTCCCGGCCCCCCTTCTCCCCACTCCCTGTAAACAGACTGACTTGGCCCGAGGGTGGGATGATTTCTGGGAAACCGTGTTGTGGTGGGCCTGGCGGCCTGGTGGCTCTGTCACCAGGCGAGACCGCCCAGCCTCCCCGCACTGTTGTGTGCCCGCCCCAACATCTCCCTGCTGCCTCAACTGCCTGGCATCTCTTCACAGCCCCTGCCGCTAGTGCCCTTGGACGTTGGCGGAGAGGAGGGGAAAGCCCCCAGCTCCGCTTTCCAGGCAGGTTGGACAACCCAGGTCTGCAAGCCACAGGGGAGCAGCATGTTCTAGGCCTAAGAGAGCCACCCGGGGATTCTAAGGAAACAAGAGGTGCCTGGGGCATGTCGCTGGTGACATTGGACTGGCCTCTGAAAACCCCGAGCACACAGCGTCCACACTAACAGGCAGTGACGGGCACCTACCAGGAGAAGATGGAGAAAGAGGCCAGGGCAGGGAGGGCTCGAATTCAGCCAGGGCCTGGAAGGGGACCCCAGGCCGAAGAAAGGAGGGTGGGATGTGGAGCTGTCCCCTAAGCAGCCAGTATGGCAATCTATGCCACCTTCCTTTATCTTAACCTACTTGGGAGACTGGCTGGGGGTTGGGTATGACCCTGTCCCCAGGAGCCGCAGTGGCACCAACTCTGGGGTTACTCCAAAAAGTGCATGGAACGTGGAATGAAAAAAATAGTAGTTTGGGGCCAGCACTGTGGTACAGCAGATTAACAAGCTGCTTGGAATGCCAGCATCCCATATGGGTGCCGGTTCAAGTCCTGCTACTCCACTTCTTTTTTTTTTTTTTTTTAAAGGCAGAGTTACAGAGAGAGATTTTTTTTTTTTTTTTGACAGGCAGAGTGGACAGTGAGAGAGAGAGACAGAGAGAAAGGTCTTCCTTTGCCGTTGGTTCACCCTCCAATGGCCGCCGCGGCCGGCGCACTGCGGCTGGCGCACCGCGCTGATCCGATGGCAGGAGCCAGGAGCCAGGTGCTTTTCCTGGTCTCCCACGGGGTGCAGGGCCCAAGCACCTGGGCCATCCTCCACTGCACTCCCTAGCCACAGCAGAGGGCTGGCCTGGAAGAGGGGCAACTGGGACAGAATCCGGCGCCCCGACCGGGACTAGAACCCGGTGTGCCGGCGCCGCTAGGCGGAGGATTAGCCTAGTGAGCCGCGGCGCCGGCCGCTACTCCACTTCTGATGCAGCTCCCTGCTATTATACCTGGGAAGGCAGCAGAAGACAGCCCAAGTACTTGGGTTCCTGCACCCATGTGGGAGACCAGGATGGAGTTCCAGGCTCTGAGCTTCAGCCTGGTGCAGCCCCAGCCATTATAGCCATTTGGGGAGTGAACCAGTGAATGGAAGATCTCTCTCTCTCTCTCTAACTCTTTCAAATGCATAAATAAATATTTTTTTAAAAAACATGTTATTTAGTGCGAACACTTCTGAAATCCATGGGAAGTTTTTCATAACACGCACTTCTCACAAATGTCTTGAACATCTTTCGGACATATGGACTCCAAATTTCTTTTTACACCAAAATTAACTTTTAATTCCATTTTCCATGAGCTTTTGAAGGCCACTGGTCTCGGAAGGCTTGGCTTCCCCAGGTGTTGAAGCCCAAGGTCAGAGGGGTGCTGACCCAAAGAGGATTGGAATTTGGCTTAGGTGGGGATTAGGGGCCTGGCCAAGGTGAAGGGTTGGGGTGCTTGGGATTCTCCTTGACTTGGGGCCCCGGAAGTGGGAGCAGCCCCCTTAGCAACGTTAGGGTCTGGCCCCTGCCTGGGCGGAGTCCTGATGGCAGGACCCTAGGAAGGGCCCCCAGGAGACAGACCCTTCCCTTCTGCCCAGGGCTGTTACCTGGACCAGCCGACGAGGGGCGGCGCGGCGCAGGCCAGGGCCATGATCCAGGTGAAGGCAACACCCATGATGGCGTGGTTCTCGCCGAAGCGGAAGTTGCTCATGGGCTTGCACACCACCACGTACCGCTCGATGGCCAGGACCACCAGGGACCACAGCGCAATTTCACCTGCAAGGCAGTGGGCGCTCAGCTCCCCGCCCACCCGCAGCCCGCTGCCTGGCTCAGGAGCCGCTCCTCCCTCAAGAAGGCCCCGGGAGCAGGACTGGAGCAGAGCCTCGGCTCCCGCAGAGGGACCGATGCGCTGAGTTCCGTAGAGTTCGGGGTTCCTGAGGGGACTTGATGGGGCTGGGATTTCCCTGGAGGGAGGGCGGAGGAAGCAGATCCCTGGTCCTACAGTCGCTGGATTCTCCCCGTGCTGGGCAGGGCTTGCCTCCCAGCGTCTGTCTTCGCCCTCCCTAGCCCACCTGATCCCCGGGATTCAGAGCTTCAGCAAGGGAGATCAGCCGCGTGCTTCCCTGGCCAACTGGGGCATTTCTGAGCATGAGAGGGGACACTAGTGTCAATTATGTCTGGCTGTTAGCTGTAAGCCATGACAGACCCCGCAGAGGAGGGTCCACCGGGACGTGGCAGATACGGGGCCGAGCAGGCAAGGACGTTGGAGAGCCAGGGTGCAGTGCTGGACTCTGTCTCCTGACTCTGGCTTCCTGCCAATGAGCATGTTGGGACAAAGCCATGATGTTGGGACAAAGCCACCCACATGGAGGACTCAGATTGAGTTCCCAGCTGCTGGCTTCAGCCCACTCTGACCCTGGCTGCTGTGTGTATCTGGGGAGTGAACCAATGGGTGGGCGGGAACTCTCTGTCTTTCTCAAATGAAAGGAGAGGAAGGAGACAAGGCAGGAGAGCCACCCTGCAGCGCTAAGCTCTGCTGTCACCCAGCTCTGCCCTGACATCTCGCCTACCTCCTCCTGTGTCCCACAGGAAATGTTCCCGGATCTGAGCCAGCACACCCAGGCTCTGCCCTCCTTAAATGAGTCTCTGCCCTCTGCATGCCTCAGTTTTCTCGTCTGCTAAATGGGATCTACTCTCCCCGTCGCAGCCCCTCAGTCTTCCAGGGGAGTGATGGGAGGGATTTGAGTGCATCTGCTGAAGCCAAGATTGCCACACAGGCCTCAGGCCTCCCCATGAAGGGGCCGCTTCTGAGTGGGGCGAGGTCACCCATCCGAAGGGCAGAGCCTGAGGGTACCCAGGGATCTGATGGACTGGGGAGGGAGAAGACAGATGCCGGGCAGGCAAGCCCACCGCCCAGCACTGGGAGAACCAGCAAGTGCAGGACCCAGGATCTGCTTCCCACCTGACCAGGGTCCCTGGAGGGCAGGGACCCATCTTGTCTGCTCTCTCCTTACAGCCCAGCCCAGCCCAGGGGCCACGGAGATGCAGGCCCTGACCTCAGCTCTGCTCCTGGCCCCCCTGGTCATCAGCTCCTCGGAACCCCAGGCTCCCTGCTGTGGAACGCGACCAGGGCGCCTCTCCCAGGTCAGTGCACTGTGCAAGGCCCACCTCCCACAAACAGCCACCCAGCTTGCCATCGCGACCAGGGCTCACTGGCTAAATCAACCAAGGCCTTGGATCGTGCTGACTGGAGAAGACAGGAGGGGCAAGAACGAATGTCATCCCCCGTCGCCAAGCCTGGGACTGGCCCCCGACCCCTCCCAGACCCCGCATTCCCACACCCCCGGCACCGCAGCTCATACCGCCCAGCGTGGCAAAGAAGCCCTCCACGTTGCATCCCGTGGGCCCGAAGACGAAGTAGCCATGCAGGGAGGTGTACAGGGTGGTGGTGAAGCCCCCAAGGACCATGAAGAGGTCAGCCACAGCCAGGTTGAGCAGGATGTAGTTGAGGGGCGTGCGCAGCTTCTTGTGCTGCACGGTGACGTAGAGCGTGAGGAAGTTGATGGGGAAGCCGAGCACGATGAGCAGGAACATGTAGGCGGCCAGCATGGAGAACTGCCAGGGCTCGGCCAGGTAGTACTGCGGGTACTCGAAGGGGCTGCGCACCACGCCTGTCTGGTTGGACATGGGTATGTAGAAGTCCGGGCCCTCCGTTCCGTTCATGGCTGCGGCCTTGGTGGCTGCCCCACCGGCTGCTCCGACGCGAGATCGCTGCTGAGGCCTGAGCTCAGCCACCCAGGGCTCCGGCTGCACAACTCCCAGCTCGGACCCCCCCCAGACCCTTATAAAGTGACCTTCCCTCCCCCTAAGCTCCCGGTTGAGTCAGCACCGGGGAGATTGGGGGTGATCATAATCATATTAATCCCCATGGCTGCAACTAGGGGCCTAATTGGCTTCCAAAAGGGGCCAAGGTGACACCAGGTAGAAGCCTGGGGCCGGGGCTGGGAGGGCTCAGCACCCTGGGAAAGTGAACGCCCCCAACTGTCGGCCCCCAGCTCCCTCTGGGAATCTCTGCCCACCTCTGTCTGCTGGCCTGGGCCTGCTTGGGATTGGACCTCGGCTCTCCGGACCCTCCCTGGGAGCTCCCCCTTGGGCAGAGGCAGGCTCCCTGGTTAACTCCCCACCCCGACATGCAGCCCCCTCCCCATGCCCTCCCTCCCTAAGGGACCTCCTGGCTTGTCCTGTCACTGAGCTCTGTGTGGGCAGGGGCTGTGCTGTCCCCATGCCAGCCAGGGCCTGGCGGAGCCCCAGAGCTCAGCAACGGCTGCATTGATGCGGAGCTGACTCGCTCCCTTGTTCATCACATGTTCACGTGGAGGCCGTGGGGATGCAGAGATGGAGAGAGCAAGGCCCCGCCTGGAGGAGCTGATGGCCGAGGAGGACGATGTGGGGAGACCACGGTCCTGCCCTGGGGCAGTGTGCGCTGTCCACTGCGGAGTCAGGGGGCTCCTGCCTGGGCTCTGAGGGAGGGAGGATGTGGGCAGGGGGCCATGGCGACAGGGCCTGGCTTTAAGTAGAGGAGCCTGGCTTTAAGCAGAGGGCAGTGGCTCAGGCAGATCTCAGGGGCAGGAACATGAACAACTGTCCCCCAGAGATGGAGGGGACAGAGATCCTCGGGACCTTGGGGGCCTCCAATCTGGAGAGGGGGCCGGCAGGACACTGAGGCTGTGAGGATGCCACGAGGCAAGCGGCCCACGAGGACCGGTCCCAGGCCAGCAGGACGCTGGGGGAGGCAGTCTGGAGTTGATGATCAGGGCCCTGGAGGCTCAGTGTTGGCAGGTCCCTCACCTCCAAAAGCAGCATGGTGACACCCCAGGAGGGAAGTGGGTGGCACTTGGTGATGACCATCAGCCAGCATGAGGGTCACGCAGTGGCTGTGTCCCAGATAAGGAGTTCCGTTCTGGGGACATTCAGAAGGACCAAGCCCCTGCCCCCAAGATGCCTGCACCTCTTTCTTTCTTTCTAGATTTATTTATTGTTTGAAAGGTAGAGTGGCAGAGAGAGACAGAGGGAGATCTTCCATCTGCTGGTTCCCTCCCCAAATGCCCACAATGGCCAGGGCTACACCAGGAGCCTAGACTTCCATCTGGATCTTCCACATGGATGGCAGGAACCCACGTATTTGACCCATCACTGCTGCCCCCCAGGGTGCACATCATTAGGAAGCGGGATGAGAAGAGGGGCAGAGTTGAACCCAGGTACAGTGCTCTGACTGCTGTGCCCGCCTGACACCTCTATTTCTGGAGGAAGGAGGGTGGAACCAGAAACAAGCAATGATGTGAATAACTACAGGGAATGTTCAGATGGCGACCTGCTCCCAACACAGCCATGGGGCCTCTCTGAGAAGTGAAACGAGCTAGGACTGAATGGCGGGAAGAACCAGCTATGCCAATCGGCAGGCAGATAGCAGAGGAACAGCACGTGCACAGGCCCTGAGGCAAGGGGCAGAAGGTCAGTGGGGGACTGTCCCTGTCTCTGAGATACTTCCCCCCCTTCTCTCTCTCTCACCCAGTCTCTATTGAGTTCTTACATCTGTCTGCTCAGAAAAGTGTCCTGTTTCCCACCAGTGCACCTGCCCCTCCCAGGCAGTGTGGGGCTGAGCATGGAGGACTGAGGGAGCAGGCGCAGAGGGTGGCGGGGCAGGGGGCGAGGTGCAGCCTCTCGCACTTTAAGACGCTTGACCCAGTGATTAGGCTGCAAGCTAATGAGGTCAAGGTGGAAGGTTTGATTCTGACAGCGTCCAGTGGCCTGACAGAGGAGGGAGCCCAGCCCACCCAGCCCCTCGCACGGCGCCTGCTCATCACGACAGCTTGCAAGTCCCTTTGTCTGCTCACAGGGCTTTTGCGCGTCTCCAGACTGCAGGACGAGCATGCGGGGCAGGCTGGGTCTAGTCCTGCTCTCAACAGGGTGGCATGGAGCTGGGGAGCCAGGGGTTTCTGTCTGCCTGCTTCACAGCGGCAGCTGCCAGGCCAGGCTCTCCAGGTATGTGTGGAATGAACGAGTGAGTAAGGCCTTCTCCAAGTCGCGGCCTCCTCCTCTGTGAGGGGCTGTGGTGACTGGGAACCAAAGGCCGTCACCCAGGGTGGGGACGGTACTCTCTGCTCCATGGAGCAACACTTCCGTTTCTTGGAGAAAAAGTGCTCTTCTGTTCAGAACGGCAGACTCAGAATAGGCCGAGAGGGTAGGCCGGAGAGACTGAGGCCAAGGCCACAGCACGCTGCCTGTGCCACACTACTAATCTGTCCTGGGCAGCCCTGGCAGCCCCTCTCCCACCTGGCTATGCTCCCCTCCCCCAAGGAGGCATCTCCCAGGACAGGGCTGCCAGTCACTCACACTATGGTATAAGTGAGTAAAAAAGGAAAGAACCTAGGCTGAGTCACACAGGCCCAGGGCAGGGCAAGCCCAGCTTCTAGGCTGTGTCTCTGGGTCACCTGGACATCTAGAAAGTTCTGCTTCCCCTTGCTGGGCCTCGAGGAAGACCCAGGGGACCCACTCGCAAACCTGCCCTGCTCGCCCCACCAGGGCCTGGCTCGCCGACCCCAAACCTTACCGCGGAGGTCTCAGTGCCCTCCTCTCCCTGTGCTGGCCTCCACACAGCCTGGGCACAGCCAGCTCCCGTTTCCCGTGCCTCGGTTCCCTGCTCTGTAAAAGGGGAATGGCTGTGGGGAGCGCTGCTGAGTGCTGCTGGCACTGGTTCCTGCTGTCTCCCGTGGGGCCGCCTCCCCATTGTGCCCACTCTGGGCCTGCTCATGGCTGCCTCTGAACTCACAGCCCATTGGAACTGCTCAGCAAATGTCCCATGAGTCAGTGGCTGCTCCTGATCCCTGAGAAGAGGCTCGCTCCCCTCTGACCGGGAGAATCGGAGTGCAGAGGGTCACGGCTGCTCAACAGAGCTGGGAGTGGAGCCAGGCCCAGCTCTCCCAGCCTGAGGTCTTCCTTCCTTTACCAGGCAACCCAGAGGGCCCTGGGCAGAGGCCCATGGCCAAGCCCAAGCAGGGGTCACCTGAGATGATGTCCCCCCTGCTGCCCCCTTGGTCGGGCCGGGGAGGAGCTGTAGGGGCCCATGGTTGGCTGCCTCTGAGCACACACATCCCTCTTGGGACTTCCCTGTGGGATCCAGCGCTTAGGGGCTTAGCCTGCAGCTGCTAATAGCTCTTAAGCCTCAGCAGGAAAAGGGGCTGCTGGGTCAGCAGCTTCCTCTTCTTCCTCTTCCTCTCCCCACCTCCCCCACTGCGTCACCACGACTGAGAATGTCAAGGGGGAGTAAGGGAAGGAGAGAGACCCAGTCTCCTCCCCATCTCCTTTTCTCCATCCCTTGCACGCTTTTCGCTGCTTCTGGAACATCCAGCAAACACGTTCTGTGGCTGGACTCCGGGCTGACAGGGGACCCCGAGATGCATCCCACCAGCCCCTGCCTCAGGGCAGCGGACAGGGAAGCTGCTAACTTCAAGAAGGAAGCTGGCTACCAGCCCGGGGCTGCAGGGACCTAGCAGTGCAAGAGATGGACCAGGAAGGCGCAGGGTGGGTGAGGAGGCCCTCAGAGCGACTGGCTTTGGGGAAGAGCACCTTGGCGCCATGGGGAGGGCAGCCGGGTATGGAAGGGCTGGGCCCAGGTGGGGAGGGCAGGCCAGCCCAGGGGTCACATTGGTACTGGTACTGGTAGGGAAGGGGTATGATCTGGCGTCAGGATGGAAGAGTGTCAGGGAGTCCTGGGATACAGGCTTGGCCCCGGGTAGCAGGCCCATGCAGTGGGGGCCTCCCTGCCAACCACCCCCGCCATCTGCACACAGACCCTGCGCCAGGGAAGACATGCAGCAGACTGGAGAGGGACCCCTGCCCACCTCCATGAGAACCACGAGGCTCCTGGCTTCGGCAGCTTCGCTAGGGAGGTGGCAAACCCAGGCCCTCCCCCACGGCTGAGGCCAGGTGGAGGCAGACCAACCTCCAGCCACCTGGTCCTCCTCTTCCTAACTTCCCATTTCTAGGACTGCAGGTTCACTCCCGAGCCCTTGGAGCTAGGAGCAGGCTCACTCCCCACCCTCACTTCCGCGCGGCTCCTGTAGGCCTGTGTACCCTCTGAAGCACACACCTCCACATCCCCACGGCACCTTCTTTGTCGTGGGCACCTGAAGGGCCCAAGGTCACCACTGAGCTCCATTCACAGACGCAGACTGAGGCTGGAAGCTCGGTGTCAGAGCTGGATGGAGGCAACTGGGCCTAGGAAGAGGACTGGGCTTGGCCCAGTCCTGGCCAGGCTGGGGGAGCAGCAGAGCAGGGCGAGTCCATGTCCCCAGGGATCAATGTGGCACTGCCTCAAGACCTATTTGTTGGATGAAAAAGAAGAGATTGCCACTGAGCCCCAGTTTCATCATCTGCCCAACGGACAGCCTCGGAGGCTGTGAGGGTTAATAAAGCACTTCAAAAAATTCATGGAAAATGCGTATTACGAAAAATCTGCGTGGATTTAAAATTCTGCCTCAAAAGTAAACTTGTTTAATTCCATTTTCCTGTGAACTTTTTGAAGTGCCCTTTAGACAAGGCACGGGTAATGTTCAGTTGAATTGGGAGCTCCGATCAGGCTGGGCTCCCAGCACCCAGTGCACTCGGCTTCGTCTTTTCCGGCTGACAACGTGCATGCGGGAGTCTGACGCTGGGCCCCTCCCTTGCCACCAGCAGGGACCATCTGATCTGTCACTGTGATTGACGCCTGTTGGGTAGCTGGAGCTGTTTTCTCCCTTTCCACTTTTTCCCAGCCATATGCAAATGATTTCAGTTCAAGTAACGCGCTAATGGAAATCCTAACACATTAATAAATGTTTAGCGAGAGAGAGCATGCATGATCGTAAGTAATTAGACACTCAACGGAGGAGTTCTGTTGGCACAACTGTCTGGCTCCCTCTCTTTATTTTCCTCCCTCATCTCCAAAGAGAGGTGAGAGGGAGGCAGGGAGAAGGGGGCTGGCGGGGGTGGGGGCAGGGGTCCTCTGCAGCTGCTCCCCTGCCGAGACCTCAGGCTCTCCATCCCTCCCATGGGCACATGCACCAGGGCCCCCACTTCACAGACAAGGGTGGTTTTGAACACAACCCCTGACACACGCCTGCCCATCTCTTAAAGCCCTCTTGCTTCATGTTGCTCTGGGGCATGGCATCAAGCCCTGTTTCACCACCCCCCTCATGGCAGGCTGCACGCTGCGAGAAGGGAACAGGACACCAGGGATGCACACACAGGGGCCCCCTCTCAGCACCTTCTAGCTCTCCCTCCCCGTGCACGTGGCATGTGGCTGGCCAAGAAAAGGTGCCCAGGAAGCAAGCGCTTTCCTTCCCCAGCTTCTCGCCCGCAATGCCTGCCCCGCCTCGAGCTGCAGGACTGGGCTCTCAGAGGGAACCCATCTCTTTGAGGAGAGGAGGGACAGGGGAGAGCCCCGCTGTGGGGCTGGGGCATGTGGTGGGCTCAGGAGAGCAGGCTCCGCACCTCTGTGCCACCTCTTTGGAGCCAGGTATCTAATCTTCTTGTCAAGACAGATCCCCATTAAGCCAAAATAAACAAAAAACTACCCACTCCCCTACTTCTTCCCATACTGCCATTTCCATTAGATTAAATTTTAAGAGCACGCAAATGTAATGTTCCTTTCAGATCAAATTAGAAACAGGTGCACTTTTGCATAAGGAAATTAAGCTGCAGACAATATGAAGATTTGCTAAAAGGCAGACACTGATGAAAATAAGTAGCCCTTTTATTTGTCGTTATTGAGGCAATCTGTGGGCCAAGTGTGCATGCTGACGGTCTGACAGATCTGTGGGCTCGAGCAGGCTGCCACAAAAACTCGGAGCCCTTCTCAAAGTCACAGATTTTTTTTTTCCTTAGAAAATATATGTACACTCTCTCCCCATCTCTGGGTGCTATTTACAAGGCAAGAAAAGCCAAAAATAGGAATTCTAAGGATATACAAAGTCCCTCCCAAAAATACAAACTTCATCTGGGCAGGGGACACTCAGACAGCTTGACTCCTTTCTCCCCTGCGGCGCAGGAGCCCGCAAGGTGGCTTCGGACGGCAGTCAGGCCTGAGGGCGCTGCTCGGGGTCACGGGCCTGAGTCATCGATGCACCTCCGGCAGTAAGGGCAGCAGGTGTGCTGAAGCACCAGCAGCTCGTAGTCCTCCGAATGGAACATCTGAGGAGAGATGACCTTGGCCTTGACCCCAGTCCACGCTCTGGGTGCTCAGCCCTAAGCCTCGGCCCAGAACGTGCTGCCAGGCAGGGAGGGCGCCTGGCAGTGAGGCAGAGTTAGAAACAGAAGCACTGTGCAGGGGGGGCACGGAGGGGCTGAGGCCCCTTTTGCTAAAGGAAGCTCGAAGGCACAGGCCCTCCTGGATTCAGCACAGGTCTGGATGCACAGAGCCAGGGGAAGTCCACTCCAGACAGTGGTGAAACGCAGGGGAGGAGGCAGGAGCGTGGGAGAACGCTGGCCATGGAGAGATCACTGTGCTCCTCCTGGACACCCAGTAGCCCCAGGGGGTACCTGGGAAGTGGAAAGGCAATAGACAGGGCTCTGGGAGCCCGGAGCCACAGGAACGCCAGCAGTGGGCACCTACCTGGAAGCAGGAGGGGCACATGGTGATGGGGGCGTCAGGCAGCAGCGAGCGGAAGTACTGCCACCGCAGGGGCGGAGGCCAGCGCTTGATGAGGACGTCCCGGCGGCTCATGGAGCGCAGCACTGACCGGCTCACCACGATGGGCACGAACTCCGAGCCGCCTTGCTGCAGGGCCAGGCAGATGGGAAGGAGGGCACGGCACCCTCAGTCAGCAACGGTGCATCAGGATCCTGCATCTCTGTGGTTGGCTGGGGAGAACCCCACCTTCTGTCCCAAAGGGCCCTGACAGTGACAAGCTCCTGGAGGCGGCAGTGCGGCTGTCAGCCCCTGCAGACAGACCAGCCTCACAGGAAAGGGTCTTAGCTCTTCTCTGGTTGCCACATCCACTGAGGGTCCCCATGCACACAGAAGGGGGCTGAGGCTGCCCTCCCCACAGGCCCTGCATGCCTCAGGAGCCCATCCTCACAGAAGTGGCCTCACCTCAAAGCTCAGCTTTGCCGTGAACGGGTCGTCGTCTCCCATGGAGTCCTGGGTCTCCTCCAGCCTTAGCGTCTGGGCATCTTGCAGGGGGGACCAGTCAAGGATGGAATCAGTGCTATAGACCCCGGCCACGACCCAGCTGAGTGTGCGACGGGGCCCATGGGGAGCTGAGGTGCCAGTCACAGGCTGGGTCTCCCTTCTTTGCCTGACAACTGACCGGGTGCTCCTTAGAACATGGTCCAAGGACAGTGGCATCACCTGTGAGCTTGCTAGAAAGATACTCTCAGCCCCAGACTTGCTGCCTCAGCTGCCGTGTGCCAACACAGGTCCCAGGGGCCTGACAGGTGCATGCCCTGTATTCAGCCTGGGAGCACAGAACCCGAGCCTGCACCATTGACAGGATCCTTCTTCCTGCACACAGGATAAGCTGAGGTATGGCCTAAGTTATTCCAACAAGATGCACCCTGGGATTCTCCCGACACAGCTGAGTCGCCAGATCTAGGGATTCCCAGCCCAATGGGATACAGGGCTGGCACTCCTGGTTGCCAGTTCTCACAGGCAGTGGTGACTAGGGGTAGAGCTACCCAGAGGCCAGCAAAGCCAGGAGAACCCCAGAGACAGCCTCCAGGAGTGCAGAGCAAGGCCCTGGATCTCACTGAGCTTCAGCAGCTGGCCGGCTGCATGTACTTTTGTTGTGCAGCCTCCTCCTTTCACTTGTGTGGAAAAGTGGCCTGACCAGAAGAGCTGGAGCCATCACTATGGACATCACACACCATGTTGGCCACGTATTAGCTATGCATGGCCAGAGGCATGGCCAGTGCCTTTCAGGAACAATAGGAGACCCTCATGGGAAGGAAACATGGCGGAAGGCCAAGGGGTGGAGGCCATTCCGTGTCTACTGGCCCTGCCTTGCTCTCCCATCTTTGATCCCCACTCTGCTGCCACATGGGCTTCTTAGATATTTCGGAAGCCATGAGGCTAGGCTCAGCTGTGCCCCCAGAATCCCCTAGGCTCGGGTCCCTGTCCTCACCTTGCCCTGGCACAGCCCCGTCTCCAAGCCCCTCCCCCCTTCCTGCCTTGCTGTAGACTGAGTGCACTGCTAGCCCAGGCAGACTTCGCCCAGGACACAGGATACTGCTGCTTGTGACCTCCTGCCATTTGTTCTCCCGCTTGTGTCTTGGCGCCTCCAGGTCAATGAGGGAGACGGCTTCTTCATCAGTAATCCCCTCCTCCAGGAAGAATTCAACCAGGTGCAGCACCTCTGGGAGACACACGACACAAGGAAGCAGCTGAGGGGGCATGGTGGCCTTGGGGCCAGGATGCTGTCACCAGGCAGCAGTAGAAAGGTGGTATGACCACAAGTTCTTTCCCCACCTGCTGGCAGGCTCCTGGCAGGGTAAGCAGGGGTGGAGGCCACCCCTCTGCGAAGAGACAAAGCACACATATCAGGTAGGTGCCTTTAGCTCCCCCTCCTCCTAGGAGCTGGGCAGGCTCCTTTTTGAGGGGCGATGAGAGGCCTCAGCCCAGCTGCTGGAAAGGGACTCTGAGTCTTTGTCACTACTGGAGGAGAGGCAACTTGGGAGCCACCTTGGTCTCTGTACCAGGGCATTGCTCATACAGAGCCCTGCTGGGGTGCAAAGAGAGGGTGTCAGGTGGGCAGCCCTGGGTCCATTGGACGCTCTGTGTGTCAGGCAGCCGCGGCAGCAGCAATGTGCCCATCAGCCTGGCTGCCCCTCTTGCCTGCACCAGGACTCACCATAGGAAGAGGCAGAGAAGACGAAGGGCTGGCGGCAGTTGATGCAGACAGTGCCCAGGTTGTTAAGCAGTGGATTGTTGGTGGAACAGCGGTAGCACAAGGGCACCAGCTCCTGCAGAACACAGCACAGTCTGCTCAGGGGACACTGGTCCTCTCCCTGCCCAACTCTGGCTTTGGCCCCAGGCCCTGGCCACCAAGAAGACCAGCTCCCTGGGGTAGGGCCAGGCTCTGTGTTGTGCTGAAGCCAAAGGTCTACAGCAATGGCAAAGGCCCAGCTGCCTCCTCACAGGCAGAGCTCAGCAGGACCCTGTGCTACCTGTGTACCCTTGATTACCCTTACAACCCACTGTGGGAAAGGTACCACACATGTCCCCACTTAATGGAGGGGGAAACCGAGGCTCAGAAAGATCGAGACGCAGCTAGGAAATGGTGGTGGTGGTGATGGGATTTGATGCCAAGTCCCTGCTCTGAGCTTGAAAGAGGGGTTTGTGAAAGAGACAACAACTGGCTGGGCTGGAGGCAAGTGGGCTGACAGAAAGGGCGTGGATACTCTGGGCAGACTGGCTACAGAGCCACTACCTGGTTCCAGAAACGGGGTCAGGTATGGCAGGGGCTCCTAGGATGAGGGCCAGCCTGTAGCCAGAGTAGAGGTATATAGTCCCCTGCATATGGAGGTGTGGAATGCACCAGGTGCCAGGCAGTGGGGGCTGGGCCTAAGCAGTAGCAAGAGAGCCTAGGGGAAGGCTTGGTGACTGAGTTGGAAAACAGGAACGGGGCATCGAAAACAAGGCACAGGAATGCTGAGGCTTCCGCAGGGCCGAGCACAGAGCTCCAAAGACACAGAAGCCCTCTGAGATGGAACCGAGGCTGGGCAGAAATCCTCTAAAGACACGGGAGAAGACAGAAAGAGCTCCGTCGAGGAGCTGTATCCTCACCTCGCTGTCGTGGAAGGGCTTCGAGCGGATGGTCAAGCTGCCAAGCTCAATGGACTTCTGGAACCTGGCAGGGATCTTCAGGCCCTGCAGCTTGTCATAGGCATGCCTGGCCAGCTTGTAGGCACCCAGCGCCCTGCTCTGCTTGGCCAGGGTGAAGAGTGTGTTCCTGTCATTAACAAGGTTAAGGATGGCAGAGACCACCCCAGGAGGGAGCCTGACACTGGAGTACAGCTCATGCTGGTGCCAGGACATGGGCAGAAGCCTGTGGAGTATTTTGCTCCTTTGTGAGCTGTAATTATATCTCTTGGAAAGCAAGGCCCAGGGATTTTTCCACAAATAAAGGCAGTACCATTTCCATTAATATTTTAACCCAGTGGAGGTTCTCTGGGCCTCTTGATGGCTCATCCTGTACCCTAACCAAGCCAAAACAGCTATTCCTGATGCGTTGAGCCTACCAGACTGGCTCGAGGACACCTGGCCTCAAGCGCCCTCCCACTCCAGCCCTGGGCCTGGTCTGCCTGGGGAGCCAACCTCAGGTCCCATTCAGAGGCCCCTGGATACCTAGCACTCTCTGCCTGCACTTTACCAGGGGCCCACTGGGGCCTGCGGCTGATAGGCCTTTGTGCTCTGACCTCAGACCACCTGAACACTGCTGGACCTAGGTACTGTCTGTCCTCCACAACACCTTCGTTCCCAGGTAAGCTTCAGCTCAATGCTGGAGGCCCAAGTCCCATGCCCCCCATTCTTCTTTTCAAGTGTTATTGCTTCCCCTACCCCAGGGCCCCCCTTCAACTCAGGTGGTCTGTGCAGGTGAGGTTCCTTGGATGTGTCTCCAAAGGGACTCTTCAAAGTCAGGGACCCTGTCAGGAGCCACTGCCAGTCCCCAGTGGACAGCAGAGGGTGAGGCTCGCCCAGCGCTTACTGGAAAGGCCCGATGCAGTGCCATGACCACTGCTCTGGGATGAGACTGACTCGCCAGTGAGCAGGGTCTCGGGCAGCTGGGAGCCGGGGGTTCCCCTGGAATGTAAATGACAGGTCTTTGGAGAGGCCGGGCCTCCCCAGGGAGCACACCTCAGGGCCCTGCTCTGGAAGGCGGGGCTGGAACTGGGAAGGGGCTAAGCAAACAGGGAGCTTGTGAAGAGGATGGAGAGAAGGAGGGCTTTAGGACTTCTAGGGCTTTAAAGGTTTCGGTCATTTCCTGTAGTTTCAGGCCACACAATCCCATCAGGCCCGTTTTCTGTTCATGGCCCCACGCTGGCCTTCACTGACACAGGACAGTCCAACTTGCAGGAACCCCCAGGCCCCTCTCCAGCGCTCCCCCCTGCTTGCTGCGTGCCAGGTGCTCTCCTGGCACATCCACATTACTGTCTGCACGGGCTGCCTCGGCCTGCAGGATGCATGCTCTCTTCCAGGCAGCCTTCCACCTGCAGGCACAGGACACACCATGGATCATCTGCCCCTGGACAGCAGCTGTGTCACCTGCTAACTCACCCTGTGTGGGGGCACAATAGGTGTTCTGTATACCTGGGGTGAACAAACTCCCCCACCCCCTGACCTGGGGAAGTGACAAAGATTCCAGGTGCAAAGCCTGGTGCATCCTCCACATCAGTCCCACCCTCACTGTGGGTTCTGACAGGGCCGGGGACCATGTGTTGCCTGAGCCCAGAGAACCCTGCAGTGCAGTCCTCCCTGGCATGGGCCCCTCGGCCTCCCGGGCTGAGCCTCCTCTGCAGTAGAAGAGCGGGAGGAGGGCAGGCGCTCTCCCTTCCCCAGGGCTGCGGGAGAGAGGAGAGCTTCTGCCAGTAAGCATTCTGGAAAGAACATCTCGGGGCCATTAGACAAGAGGGGTGGGACCAAGAGTGTTGAAGAGAAAGGATACACTTTAGAGATGCCCAAGGGAGTGTCCTTGGTCAGGCTGTGCAGCAGGAACCTGGAGATGTTGAAAAGGGTTTCAGGAAGATGGAAACTGAATGGCTCCTCCTGCCACAAGAGGAAAGAGAAAGTAAACAGGGTCTCCGTGTCGTCTCCATAAAGAACATATGCGGATACACAGCCACTGTCTCAGTCTAGTGAGGCACACGTTCTCATCGTCACTGAACTGAGGGGCCAGCCAGCCGAGAATGTCCCTTCCCAGCTGCACGGCCTCTGGGGTTGCTCAGGACCCCATCTCCCCGAGCCCAGGCTGTCTGCACGTAGTTTTAAAGGGATACCCCGAATGCAACTTAGGACATGACCCCGACACAAGCTGCCTTGAAAAGAGGCATTTAGCCTTTCCACCAGGAGCCTGCATGCCTTTTCAGGGCTGTGCAGGGGCAGCCAGCGACAGCACATGTGGGGTTTCACCTGCTGATCCCCAAACCCTGGCACTGTGATGGGCACTCAGAACACACCAGTGGGATGAATAGGGCTTCTGGACCCAGAGGCTGCTGGCGGCTCAGCGTAGCAAACACAGGGTCTCTTCTACCAGGAAGGGATGCAGGAGGTTGAGGGGACCCCATCTGAGGGAACCTGGCATGCTGCAAACTGAGACCATGTCTAGCCAAGCTGTGGATGACAAGGATGAAAGCTGTCTAGTTCCCACCCCTGACCCAAACGTGGAAATGGTACAAAACTGACACTCCCCAAGGGATCTGCTGGGGCCGACTCACAGGGCTTCCTCCTAACTGCTACGAACTCGTGTGGACTCACCTGGCTGTGGACTTCTTCGCTTCACAGCCAGCATTTTCTCTTTAGTTCCCACTTAAATTTCCACAGCCTCTCGCAGCTGTGAGAACCCAAGGAAACCTCAGACTGCATCCTTCTCTGGGTGAGAGCCAGGATGAGGCGGGCCTCTGGTTCTACTGCTAAGAAACCGCCCAGAGAGAATGGAGGGTCCTCAGGATGAGCGCCTCTCCTTTGGGCAACTTTCCCTGCTAGTCACCTGACTTGCTCTGTCCCCCAGGGCCGAATCCACCACCACTCACGGGCCGTGGCCTCTGCCAGGAATGGCCTTCCTCTTCCTCCTGCCTCCACTGCACTCGTCCTGCCTTCCTCCTCCTGGCTTAGGGGCCATCACCTCCAAAAATATCTCCCCACAGGCCTCTAAGCTCTTCCCTTGTGGGGCTGTTCTGTTCACTAGACTGTGTGCTCCTGCAGGGCAGGGTCAGTATCACGTTCCTCAATGCAGAGCCTGTCACAGAGCAGGTATCTGTTGAAGGAAAGAATAGCAACGACCAGACCCCAGCCCCGCAAGCTGTTGTGAAGCCCCTTAGCTTCAGAGCCTGGGGGCAGGGCTCAAGACTGGCTCAGGCAAACCCAGGCCAAACTGGAGTCCGCCTTCTGAGCCTGAGTTTGGACTCTTTTTTTCTGGTGGCTTCTCTCTAAATGAGCACCTGAGAGATATGAGATGCCCAAGGGGGTCTCATCTCAGGGAAAGCAGATGGGAGGGGAGATGAGGTCCCTTGAGTGTCTTAACTCCGCTGTGGGAAGAGATGGCAAGGCAGAGTCTGTCAGAGGAGGCTTTCTTGCCACACTTTCCTAAGAGGCAGAGTGGCTGGCACAGACGGGGATGGGGAAAGTGCCCAGGGAAGGGACAGGGTAGCTGATAGGAAGCTGGGGCACTGGTAAGAGCTAAGGCTTCTGTGAGGTCACTGCCAGGTACTTTTGCAAGTGCTTTTCCACTATGAACTCACTTAATCGTCACAACCTTCAAAAGTAGATGCTGTTATTATCCCCATATCCTACTGAAGGGAGCTGAAGCACAGAGCAGGTAGAAGACTTGCCCAGGCTGGCGCCGTGGCTCACTAGGCTAATCCTCCGCCTTGCGGCGCCGGCACACCGGGTTCTAGTCCCGGTCGGGGCGCCGGATTCTTTCCCGGTTGCCCCTCTTCCAGGCCAGCTCTCTGCTGTGGCCAGGGAGTGCAGTGGAGGATGGCCCAGGTGCTTGGGCCCTGCACCCCATGGGAGACCAGGAGAAGTACCTGGCTCCTGCCTTTGGATCAGCGCGGTGCGCCAGCCGCAGCGCACCAGCCGTGGCAGCCATTGGAGGGTGAACCAACGGCAAAAGGAAGACCTTTCTCTCTGTCTCTCTCTCTATCCACCTATCCACTCTGTCAAAAAAAAAAAGAAGAAGAAGAAGACTTGCCCAAAATTACACAGTACAACTGGAGTGTGGAGCCTTGAAAATTCCCTTCTAAACCAAGCTACAGGGTCCCTAGGTATCTTTAGGGAACTGTTTCCCCACAGATGACAAAATCCATGAATGCTCAAGTCCCTTAGGACACAGTATTTGCAGAATATACCCACTTTTCCCAAAGACTTTTTTTTTTTTTTTGAAAGGCACAGTTATAGAGAAATCTTCCATCCGCTGGTTCACTCCCCAAATGACCGCAACAGCTGCAGCTGGGCAGGTCCAAAGCCAGGAGCCAGGAACCTCTTCCAGGTCTCTAGAGTGGGTGCAGGGGCCTAAGGACTGGGGTCATCCTATGGTGCTGTCCTAGGTACATCAGCAGGGATCTGGATCAGAAGCGGAGCAGCCGGGACTTGAACCAGTGCCCATATGGGATTCCAGCATCACAGGCAGTGGCTCTACCTACTAAGCCACAATGCTGGCTGCCCAAACTTTCAATCACCTCTACATTACAAAAAATACCTAACACATGTACTACTGTGTAAATAGCTGTTACACTGTACTGTTTAGGGGATAAAGAAAAAAAAAAAGTCCTACATGTTCATTCAGTACAGATTCAATTTTTTTCTGAATTATTTTTGATCTTTGGTTGGTTATCTGTGGATATGGAGCAACAGCCATGCAGAGTGGGCTGAACCAGCCTGCCTTCTCTAGGTTAGAGGGTAGAGAGAAGGGAGGCTAAGAGACAGCCTGTCAAGATCCAAATACTGAAACTGCTACGTAGCAGCTGTGAGACCTTGCCCTGTCTATACCTATACCTATATATCTATGCCTTGTCTATACCACGGTTTCTCATCTCTAAAGCGGGGGTGATGGTACTGATCTAGGGTGTGATTGGGAGCATGAAATGAGGTGATGTCAAAAAGCTCTTGCCACGCTGCCTGACATACAGTCAGTGCTCAGAAAAGTTTACCCACTAACATGTTTCCAGTCTTGCAGATAGGACACGCTCAAACTGCAGGAACTCAACCAACATGTGCTAAGTAACCGTGGGGACACACAGTACAAGGGTGCTGTGCACCACCTGCCACCTGCTCTCCACTGCCGCAAGAGTTGAAACAGGGGACAGTGATGCGGCACCATGGGTTCAGCCACCACCTACCATGTCAACATCCCGTATCATCCCATATCAAAGCACCAGTTTGAGTCTTAGCTGCTGTTTCTGATCCAGCTCCCTGCTAATGTACCTAGGAAAGCAGTGGAAGATGGCCCAAGTACTTGGACCCCTGCTACCCACCCAGGTGGGAGATCTGGATGGAGCTTCAGACTCCTGGCTTTACTCTGGCCCAGCCCCAGCCATTGTAGCTGTTTGGAGAGTAAACTAGCAGATGGAAAATCTCTCTCTTACTATCACTCTGCCTTTCAAATAAATAAATAAATCTTTTTTAAAAAAGAGTTAAAATGGTTTGGGGGTGGGCCATTGTTTAAGACACCATGTTGGATTCCCACACCGCATAACTGAGGGCCTGGGTTTGAGCCCCAGCTCTGCTCCCAATTCCTGCAGATCCTGGAAAGCAGCAATGATGGATCAAGTAATTGGGGTCCCTGTTACCCACATGGGAGATGTGAATGGAGTTCTCAGCTCCTGGCTTTGGACCAGCCTAATCCTGGGCATTTGGGGAGTGAACCAGTGGATGGGAGATCTGTGTGTCTGCCTGTCTCTGTTTACCTCTTTGCCTTTCAAATAAAAATAATAATAATAAAGTAAAATAAAGCCTATAAAATGGCTTCATCCAAAGAATTAGCAAATGACCAAAAAGAACTATTTGGGTTATCTGGAGCCCAAACAACTCCTTGTATTTCAAAGACAGGAACCTGAAGGGCAGAGAAGTAAAGTGAATTGCTCACTGACTCACAGCAAGCCAGTGCCAGGCGAGGGGAAGAACTCAAGCTTTTGGTTAACCCTGGGCTTTACTTGTCTAGGGAGAGAGCCCCACGGAACTTGTAACCCCTGGCCATTCTGGAGAGACAGTCCTTACCTGGGTGATCCACAGCTGGCCTGAGCCATCAAAGCCTGAACCAAGTATTCATAAAGACCTGCCCCAGCTCTGGATTGCAATCCAGGAGCCCAGTTCTTGCTGCAAGTCAAACAAGTAGCAGACCAAGGAAAATCAAAAGTTTCTCTCCCCAGAGGAGACCAGGATCCCCCAGCAGTTCATCACCCCCGAGGGTTATGTCTCCACCCCATGGCCGTGGCTCTTTAAAGCAGGTGCAGTGCACTGGCTCCCGCTCCCCTTACCGTGTACCGCTGAATGGCGTGGTAGCCGTGGTACAGCTCAGCCAAGTGCTGGAAGTGGTGGAACTTGCCAACCATCAAGTCCTGTTGGGCAGGATCTGCTGTGCACAGGGAGGGGAGATGTGTCACATAGTGCCCGTGCCTAGGCACTGGCCACAGAAGAGCCAGGTGATGGTGCTACTTATCAGTAGCATCAGTTATTCTGCAACACCAGACCCACTCCTACCCCAAGGACAAGAGCAAAGAAGGGCAGTGATGAGAAGGGTGCTCTGCTTAGGAGTGGTGGCCACCCCAGGATGCTGAACTCTTAGCTGGGCAGAGCAGATGGCCAGGAAGCATGAAGACATTCTCTCAGGTTCCCCCCAGACCTCACACTGCACCCTCCCAGGTCATTCCATGGCTACCAACCCAGACCTGCAGAGGAGCTGGCTCAAGGGCACGCTGATGCCAACCTGACTCATGCTCACCTGGGGCCTCTTCCCTCTCTGCTCCTTCTCATCAGAAACACAAACCACAGGCCAGACTGAAACCTTAGGGGGGAAGCAGGGCAGAGTGCCCCCATGGGACACAGGGGCAAGCAGAGCTCAGGAAGGAACCAGGGCCTGCTACAGATCCCCTCTGCTTCCAGAACTCCCTCAGTGCATCACGGGAAGTACTGTGAGAGAAAGACACACTGAGACTGTCTCCCCCCAACCCCCACACGAGTGAGAATCCAGTGTGTATCATTCTCAAGTGATCTCTAGCTCATCTTTTCATTTAATTAAGTTTTGTTTTTTTTTTTTTTTTTTTTTTAAGCCAGTGCTTACCCTGGTCCAGCTATGGGCGCCCAGGTAGGAGGGGAGAGAGACGTTCTAAATTAGCTGCATAGGGCAGGACCTCCCAACCGCAACCCAGGTGGCCCCCATCCCACCCTTATCCTTACCACAAACTAGGGAGAGATGACACTGCAGATTATGCGCTGCAAGACAGGCTGATGGACAATACACTCAATAAACAAGCCCAGGGCTTTCATTAAAACAGGCTAGCTCTTTTGATGTTTATCTTGGTGCCAGAGCGGCCTGGCCAATGTTCCCTTACCTCGAGCTATCTCGAGGCACTGCATGGACAGCATCCAGTAATAATAGGCGGCATCACTGAACCTGCTCTCCACCACGGCGTTGTGCGTGAGCTGCTCCAGAACCCGGACAGCTTCTCCCTGCCGCCCGGCCTTGTGGAACGCTGAGGGCACAAGAGCACACGTGGTCCAGAGAGCCCGAGGAGGAGGCAGGGGAGAAGTCTATGGGGCTCGCGGGGGCGGCTCTGGAAGTAGGACACTCACTGCAGAGCATCTGTAGTGCCTGGCTGCTGGGCTGCCTCTCAGGCGGAAACCTATAAATAACTGAGGCTACACCCTGGTTGTGTGAGACACAACCCTCTGTGGCTGGGAAAAGGCAACCAATGTTGGGAAAGCCTGGCCAAAAGAAGACCTGAGGGGCCAAACTGCAGGGCAAAGTGTGATGACAAAACCTGCTCATCTTTGGTGGGTTCTGCCCCCTGCTCCACTCCAGGACAAAGCTAACTGAGGCGACACTAACCGGATCTGACATTGCAGCCTTGGCCAGGCTTCACTGTCTATAAAGTGTTTTCTTTGCTAATTTCCTCACAGGTGCATCACAACAGACACAGGAAGAAGAGAAAATCATCCCCTCTTCTGACAGGTAACAGAGCAGGTTCTGCAACGTGGAGAGCACCATACCCAAGGTCAAAGAAGAGGATCCAGCTCAAGGTCTCTCAAGTTGCTTTCAACTGAACACTTTTTGATAACAATCTAGAAAGATCTGGCTCAGTTATTGAAACCCGACACTTGCACAAACAAGCCACAAATCTTTCAGTCTTCTTGCTATCTACCAAACAGAAATTCCCTGAGCACTTCCTCTGTGGCCAGCCCCTCAGGACATCAGGGGCTGCCAGCGAAGCACCTGTGGCTGGGACACTCATCCACATGTGGGCCTCCAGATGACCCCAACCTTCTGCCTGAGAGAAGGAAAGGTCTGGCCTTTGTCCCATTCTCCCCTCCACTCTCTTGTCTGAGCACCAAGTTACTATGGCGATGGATTCTTGGAAGGGCAGGCACAGACAGATGGATAGGTTGATGTGTTTTGCCCAAACATGCAGATACTTCAGCAACTGGGTGCTCTGGCAATGCTGCAGCAGGGAGAACACGCTGTCCTCAGGCCTGGCTTTTAACTGCAGGGCTCCCACAGAGAGACATTTGTTCCACAATGTGTCCGGAGGTGGCAACTGTTACCATATAGAAGTGCAAATGAGATGCTATGGATTATGACACACCCAGCTTCAATTAAAGACATCCTAAACAGGCAGCGAAACACAGGCAGAAGAATCAGGTTCCCCAGCTGGACAGATCCTGGTCCAAGTCTCTCTGCCGCTCACTGCCTCTGCGACTTTGTACAGCACACAGCCTGTGTCTCTGTGGGGCTGTTGGCAAGACTCAAGGTTATACAGGTTAAGTGCCCAGCCAGTGCCTGACACAGAAAAGGCAGCTGAGTTTTAAAATCATGATTCCCATTATCAGTTAAAGCTCACTTGCTTGGCTCCTATTTCAGCTACCCCCTACCTTGTGTGCAGCCCATTTCACCCACAGAGATGCTAAGGAGCAGAGGTCACCCCACTGACTACAGACAGAAATGGAACCTGGGTTTCTATTTTCAGTAGAGGAAAGAGGAGGTGACTGTGCTACACATCTGTGGCAGTCCTCTCATTTTGTCCTCACTTAACCCTGGTACCAGTGACCTCTGCCACTTCCTAGCTATAGGACTTAAGGCAAATGCCTTTACCTCTTTCAACTTCCACTTTCTCATCTGTAAAATGGGAATAACAACCACAGTACCAACACCATGTGACAGTAATGAAGACTGAGAATACAGACGGATGTGCATGGTGTGTGGTGCTTTGCTCAATAACCACAGCACCTGAGAGAGCAGACAGAAACTGCGAAGGTCCCTAGGCAGTGGGTGAGGGGCTCACGAGCCATGTATCTCCAGTCAACATCCTTTACACTGCTTCCATCTCTCACCCCCACATACATCACATCCCCACGGAACATCGCCTATCTTGGAGTGTGCAGATGTGAGGGGCCTGGCAGCTTTCTTGAAATGTGTGCTTGGGGAGTGCCTACCTTTGCCCCTCCTGCCAGGTGCCAGTCTGAGTGCCTACCTTTCTGAGCTTCCTCAAAACGATCGTTCTCTGCCAGCCACTGGGCATAGGGCACATAGATGTCATCCTTAAATTCAGGGTGCTTCTCGCCCAAAGCAAAGGCCTGGAGGAAGCAGCAAACCCATCCTTAATGAAGCAGCCCTGCAGTCCCCATGAAAACACGGCACTTGGCTGAATCCATTAGGCATGTCCTATTTTGCCAGCCTGACAACTCAGAGGGGGAAAGAGCCTCCCCACCCAACCACCCCCAGAAACACAAAAACAAATCAGCTCTTTGAAAACAAAAGGCAATTAACAGCAATATGCAAGCGACTGGATTCAATAACAACACAGTCTGTTTCTGAACTACAGGAGCGGCACAAAATCGGAAACATTTTATTTTGAGGGTTTGCGTAGGCTCATGGAGCGCTGCAAACAGATTTCTTTTAATTGCAGGCGACACCTAAGGAAACAGAATTGACATTCTCATCATCACTGCTTATCAGTTGTCAAAGATGACTGTGGGCTTGGGGTTGTCTAGGACCAAGGGGCTGCTTCACCTAAGCCCCAGATCACTGGCAGGCCAGAGGAAGGGAAGCAAGCCATGGCACGAAGTTTGCCTCATGTCTGGCCAGGCCTGTTCCGTGATGTCACTCATGGCCACTTGAGAAACCTCCTGGTACATTTGTCTCAAGATGCCATTATAGCCTCTGTCAGTGACCTGTCACCCTCGGAGGGCAGACAACAGTCAAGACAGCTCTTAACCCAGCAAAGGCCTCAGAACTGCCCTGTATGAGAGACCACCCTGGCTGGCTGACAAGGGGAGAGGCCCAGGGGTCACTTTCGCTCCAGGACACAAGTGGCCCCTGAGCTGGAGGATGGGAGCCAAGCATGGAGAGGGTGGCATTGGCTGCTCTGCAGTGGCCTGGCTAATCCTCCTCATCCACCCTTCACAGCAGAGGAATTACGATTGGGTAGGCCAGGAAGGAGAAACTGGGACATGGAAAGTATGGGTGGCATTGCTGCAAAATGCCAGCCAGAAGGTTTTAAATGTCACCTAAGTGTGTTTCCACACCAGAGACAGTCTGAGCCTGTGGTGCTGGTCAAGGCAGCTCAGACCAACTGCAGGCACTGGAGCCCTTGTGTGAACACTCATGCCCTAGTGCCTACCCTAGGGCCACAAAAGAGCAGGCAGCCAATGAAGATTTTCTGGAAGGAAAGAAGGGAGGGAGGGAAGAAGAGAGGGAGGTGAGGCGAGGGGAAGGGAGTGGGGGAAAGCAGGGGAGAGAAAAGTATTATGGGAAAGCTCTCCAAGACACTATGGCTCAGAGGGTTCTAGGCTGTCTTCTGACCACCAGGCCAACGTTCATTCCACCATGGGAGGCTTATAACCATCCAAACCCCAGGGGGCACTTGTATACACCTGCCTGTGGCCCAGGGCTCAGGCTGTACCCCTCACCCATGAGGCACACTCTGCCCTCACCTCGTCCCAGCACTGGGTCTCCACGTGCAGCTGCACCAAAGACTTCAGGTCACCCATCTTCAAGTAGGTCTCGGCAGCATAGCCAGGGTTATCCAGCTTCTTGAAGTAGTGAGCACACAGCAGCAAGGGCTCACGCTCAGCTTTGTCCAGCTTCCGGGCGATGTCAATCAACCTGGAAAGTGGAGAGGGCGGGGAGGAGAGGGCCCTGTGAAGTGGTCTGATAGGAAGCAGCAGCAAGGGGCTGCGGGTCTCCTCAAAGGCGGCTCTGCGGCTGTTTGTTCTGTCATGCCCAGCACTACCACAGCACCACGGCCCCGGGAGGTGCTGTCAATGGGAGCGTATGTGCTCTGGAAACATGGCCAGGGACCAGGTGAGGCTGCCTGTGAGGGGCATCTTCTGTCACCTCGTGTGTCGGCCACAGAAGTTACTAATCTGCCCAGCAGAAAAGAAAGTCTACCAATTTCCTGCTGGGTCCAAGGTGGTGCTGTGCGCTTTCTCATGTGTGGATCTTCCCTAACGGGTGGGTGCTCCTGTTCTCATTTCACAGATGTGAAGACTAAAGCCCAGGGTGGAAGGTGCAGCTTCCCCCTGAGGCTTCAGAGCCAGGAAGTGGCAGAGTGTGTGAGTATTCTCCAGGGATGCGCTCTAGGGGAGACATGCGTGGCCTGCTCTGAGTGCCAAAAGATGGGTCTGCAGGAAGCCCTGACTGCCCTTTACTGGCCAAGGGGCTGACCACAGTGAGGGGCCACAGGGACCAGTTGGCTCACCCCCTCTTCCCAATGGTGACCAGCCCTGCCGCTGCGCATGGGGATATGGGGTGGATGGAATGCGCCTCTTCCCTCTGGTCAGGCTGATGTCTGGAGTGAGACCAGCTCTATTGGGGTAAGGGCTCTGAGTCCCAGCCGGCTCTGAGAAGGAAGGGAAGCATCCGCAACAGATCCCATCTCAGAGACAGGCAAGCTGGGGAGGCCTGTCAGTTTGCACTTAGAATAATAATGGCATCTAAAAATAACACTGCTCAGCAGGGAAAGGACACATTTTTAGGGAAAGGTGGCACAGGCAGCCCCTAAGAGCCCTCCCCCATCGAGTCACATGGCCCTGGATGAGAGCACCCTTTACAATCAGACCTGGAAGAAGGACAGAACATGCTTCTTCTTTCTTTCCTGAGCTAGCTGAGTGTCCCCAGGGTAACCTGAAACACAGCACTTAAAAAGAAAGCGACAGATGAAACACCAGAGGGTAGAGTGGGGCCTACATTGCCTGGCTCTCCTCTGTGCCACCCCTTTCATGAAAAGAAAAATTTGGGGGGCAAAATCTTTGCCTCCACGTTCAAGAAACTTCATTCTTGGACAACAGGATTCAGCAGTAGGTCCCCCCACCACCACCAAGGTCTCCTTGGGACAGGCCCAGAGACCAACCACACAATGCAGCTGAAGTGCTCACTTCAGCGGCATATGTACAATGCAGTTCAACAGGACAATTTGTCATGAACCGGCCTGTTCCCCATCCCAGGTCCTGGCTGGGCCACTACTAACCTATAAGCAACTTTGATTCCAGAACAACCAACAGCCTTCACGGCGCAGACTGAGTTAACTTCCTTCCTGCCCTTCTCAGCCAGGTGTGGCAACACACGGGCACACGCCTGCATGACCAAGAAGCCCACTGGAGCTCACCAAGCCTATCACATCTTTGAAGCCCACTTCTTTTTTCTATTCTCTACGTGGCAGGTGGCATCGAGCCCGAGGCGGCCCCTGTTGCAGCTCTTCTGCGTCTCATACTTTCAGCCACCACTGTCCATCTCAGCCTGCTGGGCTGGCCAGCCATTCTCCCTTCCTCTAATTTTCCCTGATGATGGGGTCTCACCACCTGTGCAAATCTAAGTGCCTCCACTTGGTACCCAAGGTCCTAGTGTGGCCAGTGTGGGCAGCCCTGCCGGCAGCCAGCCGCCCCTCCCTCCAGCTCCCACACCAGCCTTATTCCAACCAGACCCACTTGCTCTTGGGCTCTTCCTCCTGCCATCTCTACCTCTCAAAATCTTTCAAGGCCCCTTCATGCAAAGACGTCCACAGCTGCTCCCAGAATCCTCCTTTCCTTATTACTTAGAACTTTTCCTGCACTTGTTTGGTTCCCACCACCAGACATTTCATGGGCACAGAAACTGCTCAGAAGAGGCTGGAGCTCAGCACATAGCTTCCTTACTATTTGGCCTTTGGCAATAGTGTGTTTCCTAGGTCTTGGTTTACTCAATTGCAAGACGGATGTGGAAATGTCACCCGAGGGGCCTACAAACTTACCGCCGTGCCTCGGTTGTAGTGAGGGCTCAGTCCATGGCAGCTCTGCTGTCTGGGTGGCCCCCTCCTGGGTCCCCAGCACCCTTTCCCCCAGGAACTCGAGAAGTTCCTCAAAATCAGTGACTGCCTGGCTCAATCTCCTGACTCCGCTAGGATGTAGTCACTACCACATTTGGTTTAGATATTTAGAGAATAGCTATTTTTTCCTCGTCAGTCAAAACCAAGAGCTGACATGACAAGACATGCTGCCAAACGCTTCTGGGGGCAGGGGCGAAAACCTACATGTCGACCCAGCCGTGGTCGCCGCTCAGCTCGATGGCCTTGACATGCTCTCCCGCTGAGATGTACATCTCCACAGCGGCTTTGGGCTCGTTGATATTTCTGGCCCAGTCAGCCTGTTTGGTGATTAGCATCTTTGTTTCTTTGGGGTCTCCAGATCCAAGGAAATCCTGAGGAAGCACAACAAACAAAAACACTCCGGATCAGAGCTTCCTGTGCCAGCATTACGTCAGGCTGCCGAAAGCTGGAGCAAGGAAGGGTTCCATTTGGCTGCAGCAGGCGCTCAGGATGTGGCAGGGGCCCATCCCTGTGCGGCTGAGCAGGGGGCAGTCCCAGGTGTCGGGGAGGAGTGCTTGTGGCTGCCCCACAGGTGCTCCTGAGGATGCTGGGACAGTGTCAAGGACTGTGGCCTTCAGTGTTTCCTTCCTTTACTAATGAACACTTGTTCTTCAGCCAAGTGGCACTTGCCAGACCACGGAGCATTGTGGGTGGATGTGCGTGCACACACACTGCAGTGGATAGTCTCTCTCCACTGTCCTGTAGAGTGATAGGCAACACGGCTGCTTAACTTCAAACAGTTGGTCCTAGACTCTGCTCTGCTGTATGGATAATACCACATACCTGGAGATCTCAGCGGGACTGGCATGTGGGCCCCTCAATGCCAGCAAAATGAGTTCTAGATTCAGCCTCCTGTGGCCTCCCTCAGCTACCACCACACTCACAACATGTACCATTCACATCTGTTTTCTGAGATGTTCTGTGGCCTGCCCTTAGGGAATCATCCCATTGGCTTGCCCAGGTATGCGTTGAGGACAGACAATAAGCAAAACTCTCTTTGGTTAATGCATTCTCAACTGAATGTTACTGGACTCTGGTCTGAGTCAGGTCTGCAGGGGTGGGGACCCAAGCCAAGGTGGGCCAGCAGGAAGGGATCTGAAGTGGACCAAGGCCACCAGGAGAGAACTGTAAAGGAAGTGAGAAGCCTGCAATCCCAGAGGCTCAGGAAGCAGGGTGCAGGGTCTGGGTTTCCCCTGCCACAGATCAGGGTTATGCCTAGCTCCCCAGGGCTGTCCCTATAATTTTGAGAAATAGCCTCAGAAAATCACTGGCATGCAAAATACACACCTAGGAGTCACCATAGTTGAGACAGCATTGGTGCTGACATTTAAGAGGTGGGGGCTTTTCAAAAGGGGACACTGAGAGCATTTTCAGTCCGGATCTGCATCCTGGGTAAGACAGAGTTGTTGCAGGGATCCTGTATCGTGCAGACAACTCATCCCCGTGATGACTGTTCATTGGTCAAAGAAGCGCAGTCAATGCAAGTAGAAAAGCCCTCTAACAATTAGCTCACCACCCCTCACCCACTATTTGCTTTCAAGTCATTGTGTAACCCCTAAAATTGCCCTAGACAACCCAATGTTTAAGAAGGAGAAGAAACAGTCTAGTTTACCCTGATGCTAGAACCTCAGTTAAAAGAGAGACCTAGGAACTGTGGCATAGCTGGCAAAGCTGCCGCTCGCAGTGCCAGCATCCCATACGGGTGCCAGTTCAAGTCCTGGCTGCTCCATTGCCGATCCAGCTCTCTGCTATTAACTGGGAAAACAGTGGAAGATTGCTCAAGTCTTAGGGCCCCTGCACCCGTGTGGGATGCCCAAAGGAAGTACCTGGTTCCTGGCTTCAGATTGGCCACTGCAGCCAATTGAGGAGTGAACCAGTGGATGGAAGATCTCTCTCTGTCTCACTCTCTCTGCATGTAACTTTTTCAAATAAATAAATTTATCTTAAAAAAAAAAAAAAAAAAAGGCCGGCGCCGCGGCTCACTAGGCTAATCCTCCGCCTAGCGGTGCCGGGACACCGGGTTCTAGTCCCGGTTGGGGCGCCGGATTCTGTCCCGGTTGCCCCTCTTCCAGGCCAGCTCTCTGCTGTGACCAGGGAGTGCAGTGGAGGATGGCCCAGGTGCTTGGGCCCTGCACCCCATGGGAGACCAGGAAAAGCACCTGGCTCCTGGCTCCTGCCATGGGATCAGCGCAGTGCGCCGGCCGCGGCGGCCATTGGAGGGTGAACCAACGGCAAAGGAAGACCTTTCTCTCTGTCTCTCTCTCTCACTGTCCACTCTGCCTGTCAAAAGGAAAAACAAAAATAACTTTCCTTTAGCCAGCTCCACGGCTCAATAGGCTAATCCTCCGCCTAGTGGTGCCGGCACACCAGGTTCTAGTCCCGGTCGGGGCACTGGATTCTGTCCCGGTTGCCCCTCTTCCAGGCCAGCTCTCTGCTGTGGCCAGGGAGTGCAGTGGAGGATGGCCCAAGTCCTTGGGTCCTGCACCCCATGGGAGACCAGGAGAAGCACCTGGCTCCTGGCTCCTGCCTTCGGATAGGCGCAGTGCGCTGGCCTCAGCACACCGCCGCGGCAGCCATTGGAGGGTGAACCAATGGCAGAAGGAAGACCTTTCTCTCTCTCTCTCTCTCTCTCACTGTCCACTCTGCCTGTAAAAAAAAAAAAAAAAGAGAGAGAGGCTTAACCTTGGCTAGCACCTGGTTCCTTCTGGAGCTCAGAGGGGAAGGGGCCTGGAAAGCAGCCACTTACTGTGCCTAGTTTGGGCACTACAGACTCACCGTTTACTCTTACAGCTACTACAACGTGCGCTCTGTATGCTGCCACTCTGTCTACCAATGGCTAAATGAAGTCAGCAGCGGGGAAACAGGCATCAGAAAATGGCAATGTCCTTTAAAGAGTCTTTAGCAGACTCTGGGCGCTCAGCGTACTGGGGGTGACTAAGAAAGGTCAGAGGCCAAGAGACAGCCATGAGTCTGCGTGGTCGACCCAGAGAGACCAGCCAGGCTCGCAGCGCACAGGCTCAAGGGAGTCTCCTAGGAGGAGCCCTGAGCCGTATAGCTCAGGGAGTTGGGACTTAATTGAGGCTGAGTCTAAATGGTTCCTTCAAGGCTCAACTAACTGGGTTTTCAAAGGCTTTTTGGTTCCATGAATATAATTGACATGTTATCTGGAGGCCACAGCCAAGATTTTGTCCTGCAGTGGACAGAAAAAGGCTGTGCTGAGTGATGAATGAGACTTAACAATGTTCTCCTGCGTGGTGATTTCAATCAGGACATACTACAGAGAGTGAAGAGCATTATCATTCCCTTTATCACCACATAAACATGTCACTTATCCGGAAAGCATACAATTTATTTGTATGTGGGAATGTAATTTAAAAATTTTCTGAAAACCAGATTGAATCTTGGGAAGCAATTTTCAAGTAAACAAAAACATGCCATGTTAATAAGCACTGTGTCCCCCACTCCCCCAACATAATGCATATGTACACATTTTCTCAATCCCGACTACCGGGCAAAGCAGGGAGGGGATTGAAACAGAACCAATCTACTTGGAACTGTGATCAAAAACCGAAACCCAAAACAAGCTCTACAGTATTTACCTTCCTAGAGACAAACCAGATGGACTGTGTCAGTGGGCACATTTCTGGGTGGGAGACTATGGGTGCCTGAAGCCCACCTGAGGAGGGATGAGGGGCCTCCGAGCAGGGGCAGGATTGGGTGCATTCTGTGGTCATGCTGGGCCCCTCTTATTTTCATCTTTCTACAGCCTGCATTTGTAAAGTGCCCCATGCACTGTTCTGTGCACTCCTTATATATAACCAAGCTGAGGAGGACACAGAGGCTGGGCACAGGGAAGACCTGCAACCAAGGTCACCCCACAGGAGGAACCTGGACTCATACCAGGCCTCTGGATTCTGGGGCCTTTTCCACCGCAGCAGGGCTGCCGACTTGAGGAGGCTCCAAGGGTTCCAGAAGGTACCATCAAGTGCAAGAGACAAGCAGCTCCAGCTGTTTCTGAGGCCAACATTCTACCTCCAGGGATCTGATCCTTGTTTCAGGCTGTGCTCGCAGCTAAAATGTTGTTACGCCCAGAAGAGAGCTGCACTGATTTAGGTGTGCTCAGTATGCATGTTTCATGAAATCTGGTGGGGGCTGTGGGAGGAGCAGGAGCACGGGGAAGCATGAGAAAGGTGAAGAGGAAAACGAGGGAAGCTACCCTGGATCTGAAGAAAGAAAAGAAGGAATCAAGGTGAAAAGGCAGCCTGGCTGGAGCCCAGGTGCTTGGCCACAACAGGTGAACAGTAACTCCTGGGCCACATCACAGGGAGCCAAACACGCCTTCAGCCCCAGCATCGAGCAGATGGTAGAAGATCAAAGAACACAGTCATCTTCAGGAATAGAAAAGGAAAAAAAAGGGGAAGATTTTCCATCTTGAACTCATGAGTTAGATAATTACCATTAATAGCCACTAATTGGTTGTGGCTGATGACTCAATAACATTCTGAGAACTTCTGACACTACCGGGAAAGGCAGGTTAACAGCGGCACCTCCGTAAAGGAAGAGCCCTGCTGCTCGCTGCACCTTGTGCTAGGCTCAACTGCAAATGTCTTGACTGGTTTGAGCTCCTTTGTAGGAGCTGCTCAGGAGCCGGAGCCAGCTAGCTCTTCTCCCATAGGGATTTTTAGAAGTCCACACCTGCTGGGGACTAACCTTGATGGGGGACCCCAAATCTGAAAGGGAATCTCCACCTTGAGGAAACGCTCTGCAGCCATCAGGGCAGAGAGGCACACGGAGCCAACATGTGAGGGCGGGGTCTGGCATGGCCTCTGCACCCAGCACAAAGGCCCTGTACAATCAGAACACAGGCACCCAGGAACCTAGGCTGCAGGGCCCCACACGGTCCCACAGGACTTGCAGGAACAGCATGTGTCTGAGGGCACTGATGCTTAAAAGCTCCTGAGAGAGATCTGAGAGTTTTGGGGAGGCAGCCCCACAGCCTTGCACTCAACACTTTTGAAGGGGATTGTGCTGGGGCAGACTCACACCAACCAACTCTGTCACTCAGGAAGGTCTGAAATGTCACATTCTGTCCCTCTGACACACGCCCAGAAATTAAGTTTTAGACCAGTTTCAACCAGTGGCCACTGATGGTTCCTTTGTTTACCCATTTGCCCACACCCTGAGACCACGGCTGTTTTCCATCTAAACCACCTCTTGGGGCAAACAACTTGGACACTGCAGGTCAGAACCCTGGGGTCCAGGTGGGTTACCTTGGCATACTCAAACATGCGCAGGTCAGTGTACATGTCGAGTGCGAGGTTCTCGTGCCCACTCTTCTTGTACAGTTTGGCGGCCTCGTGGAACTTCCCTTGGTAGGAAAACACATCTGCCAGAAACAGGTCATTGTTGGTCTCTCCCCGCTTCTTCCTCTCCTGGAAAAATTAGAAGCACAGGAAATGGCCTCTGCAGCCATGGGCAGGAAGCAGCCTCTACAAAGGGTAGACGTTGCTATTTCCAGTTAAGCCCCTGGGCGTTCCTCCTGGAATCCAGGCTTGGCTCCCAGGCTGTTGTGTCTCACCTACATCGCTGGTGGGAATGCTTGACAACAAAAGCAGATTTTTTTTTTCCAGACAAGTAAAGACCAAAAAAGATGCAAACCTTTGTTTAGTGGAAATTCCTCAGTTTTGCTTTCCGGTCTATTCTTCCAAGGCAACTGGACAGTTTGGACAGTGTGTGTCACCCGCTAACTGGTGGTTCCTAACTCCCACATCTCAGCCCTGGCTGGCAGAGTTGTGACCCAGAATGATGACAGACAAGGGCAAAGTGTAGGGTTTCTGTCCAAGATGGAGACCACACAATAGTAAAACAAGCCTCACTATGTTCCTCTTTCTTCAGAGAGCACACTGAATGCACGCTAGGTGCCAGGTACACACTTTGCACACATGTGGATTCTTTATTCCTCATGGCAGCTGGAGGGGTAGTGATTACCACCCACGTACCACAGTGAAGGAAGCTGGGATTCAAGAAGACAAACAGGCAGAGGGCAGACGAAGCTGGTATGTGGACTCAGTTCTGTCAGACCCCAAGTGCTCCTTGCACATCACAGAGCTCTCCCTGTGCCACGAACCACCAACCACAACAGCCCCTTCTGAAGTCAGCAGGGGTTCTCCCTAACAATCCCATGTACACATGCGCACACATGCTTAGCAGTGCCAGGATAACTCAAGGGACTGCACGTTCCTGCCTCTTGGGCTAGGAAATAGTCACTACTCTACAGCTCAAGTATTTGTAAACACTCAGTCACACCCGACCCTTCATCTGCAGCAGTTGTCTTTTGCTTGTTTTCTCACAAGTGTATCATAGTGGAGGAAGATGAGACATTGAATCAAACTCCTAGACAAGCTGGTGAAAGTTTTAACAGCTGGAGGCATGATGCCTCCCCACTGACAGAAATAATTAAAAAAAAAAAAAAAAAAACCTACATATAGTTCTGGCTAATCTGCCCAATAAACTAACTCCTAATAGTTGGAAGTGAATCAAGATCTTGCACTGAAATTTAAAAAAAAAAAAAAAAGACAGAAAGAAACAGGTTTTACCAGGCACGGAATCTATGCCCTATCCCCTTGGGGCCCCCGGCAGCTCATCATAATCAATTAAAATGATCTGTGGATACTCAGAAGCCATATATTAGGATGGGCAGAGGCCTTGCCTCCTATGAGCAAAGAGGAACATTCGCCTAGGCAACTAAGGAGCCTCAGGCTCTGGGCCTGGCTGAACAGCAGGCAACATGGCCTCGGAGCAGTCCAGGTGGATCTTCACGGAGAGGGACTTTCCTGTTTGTGAAGGGCAGAATCCTCCAAGTCACCTTATGGAAGTCCCAACTCACAGCACCTTAGAGGAAGCACACATTCTGAACTCAGCTGGCCATGACAAATGATGGGAGCTGGCCTGCAAAGAGGCCAGTTGCTTTTGCATAGACAAAAAGGATGTTCATGGCTTCAAATGAAGACTCCCTAGACGCAGGCCAGTGGATTCACAAACAGCCTGGGCAACAGGCAGCACTGGACCTCCCAGGCCTTCAACAGGCAGGCAGGCACACAGAAGGTGACACAGACACTCCTTACAATGCTCACGCAGTGCATGAGCAAAGGGTGCACGGCCTAGAGTGAAGCAGTAGAAGCTTGGCAAACAGACAGCCGTTGGCTATGCAGCCTTAGGGAAGTGACACAGCCTCTCTGAGCCTGTTTCCTCCTCTACTGCAGAGGTCTAACAGAAGTACCTGCCCTGTGGAGGTGCTGGCAGGATTAGAACAGTGCACACACCAACTATGCCTGGGATACAGAGCAGACTGCAGTCACGCTTTCTGGTGGTGGTGGTGGGGAGGAGTGGAGAGGGCAGGGGGAGGGCTCCTGCAGGCCTCTCTTGGGATCAGCCCTTTGCCCACTGGGCTCAGCACAAGGCTTGGCCCATGACAGTATTTATTATGCGAACTGCATTAGAGGGACAAGACATTTGCAGATTTCCTCACACTTCCATCTGGGAATTCAATGTATCTCACATTCCTTTAGGCTCACAATAAATCTGTTCAGGAAAAAAAAAAAAAAAAAAACAAGCACGCCTTTTTACAGACAGCCAGATAGCACTGAAAAGCGTGGAACTTAAGAACAGCAGGGCCCAGCACCTAGCAACCGGGGCACCTAGCACCAGCCTCTTCAGCCCGCCCAAGACCTGTCTGGGTTTGGCTGTCAAGGTCTGTGTTCTCGTCAGGAATGGCAGGGCTGGGGTGCTCCAGAGGCCCGGGGAGCCCAGTTCAGCCCAGGTGCATTTCTGGGGCTGAGGCATAGCCATGTACACTGAGGAAGCCTCTGCTACACTGCAGATACCTGGAACCTGAGAACACAGTAGCCAGTTACTGAGGACCTTTTAGTCTGCACAGCCACCTTGCCAGGCAGGTCTGATCCCACTTCTGGACAACAAACCAGCGCTCCGAGAGAGCAGGAACCCATGTGCCCCACGGAGCACAAAGCAGCAGACTGTGATCCCTGCCCCAGGGTGCTGTCTCCACTACGCAGCACTCTGCCCTGCAGGGGCAGACACCTGGGCCTTGTTCACGTGTCCTCAGGGCACCTGCTGCTGGGAGGGCTAACGCCAAGCCTGTGCTTGCTGGGGAAGGAAGAATGCTTCATCTGTTACCTCAATGCTGCTGATGAGCTCCAAGTACCGCAGGTCCTGCACCCTGGTGAAGGCCTACAAGGGAAGAAACAAGGAACAACATCAGCTGCCGTCTCAGCTCCCAAAGTGGGCGAGTGGCTGGGGGTGGGGAGTCAGGCTCCAGAAAGTCAGACGGTGCAGAGGGGGAAGAGGCAAACACTGATGATCACCACATGCTCAGGAGGGCCATGGCCCCATGAGGCTCGGCTTCAGCCCCAGGATTAGGCCACACAAAGAACAGCAAAGAAGTCTTGGTTGCATCCATCACTTTGGGATTAGGCAAAGCAAAATCCTGATAGTGCAGCCTGCAACAGTGCCTCCTTGCGAGGCTCCCACCTGAAAGGAAGGAACAAGTTGTGTGACGCTGCGTGGCAACGGCATCAGGGCAGGAGTGGTAAGAGGTGCCAACTGATAGGTGACACACACACACACCTCCTGGTGGCTTGGATAGAAAGTAGAAGATAGAGACGCCTACCTGATGGTGCCATAAAAACAGGGAACCCAGAGCCCACAGTACTGGTGCAGGGGGAAAGCTGAGAAGCAATAAAGCTGGTTTCTGAAAGCAGTGAGGCAGGGAATGAATCACTCCAAGCAAGCACTGAAAAGCAAACTCTCACATAAATCAAAGTGTAACCCTTGCCTTGGCCTCCCGGTCAACACAGGTACTTCAACCCCTGCTGCAAGTCTCTGAGGAACAGGAAGACAAGGCTTCCTGACGATGCTCTGCTTCTTTCAGATTCTGCAAGGGGCTTAGAGGAACATAACCCACTACGCCCAACCCGATCTTCCTGTGGTTTTGTGGTCAACATTTCTACCCAGCTGCGCTTCTGTAATCATCCCATTTGAAATGGGCTGACATAGGCTTAGAAGGGCAGCAACTCCAGGAGCCCTTGGAACTTAAAATGCACCAAATCCTTGGCTGCTGGAAGCCTCTACTCCACGGCATGACGCCCCCCTTCTAAAAAGACATGGGAAAACAAGCAATTCATCTGGCCTCACTGTGGCTGCTGCACAGAGGACCACAATACAACATCACCTTTCATCCTGCAGGGCCAGGCACCCTGTCAGGCTGGGGACCCAGATGGGAATAGGACTTGGCCCTGCCGCTTTCCGTAATTCATAGGCCCACGTTCTACAAGGGGAGGTAGGCAGGATAAGTAGATCACCAAATCTCCCTTAGCCAAGAGCTACACAGTGGGAACTGGATGCTCTTGGGAACACAGACACACTGTCTGGGCATGGGTGGAACAGGAGGCAAGATGAAGTGAGGCCTCCCAGGGTAGGCACCTGGCAAGTGCATCCTCCTGCAGCAGAGTTCACAGAAAGGGTAAGGAGTGGGGGTCACCAGGGAAAGGACAGAGAGCCAGGAGCACCCATGGTCCACACTGGAGGTCTTGGGACTACCTTCTGGATCTGGCTTTCCTTAAAATTCCCAGGAAAGGGGAAAGCCGCGATGCCTGGCGGAGAGAGATTTCCCACGTCCTAGTCCCAGCTCTGAGGCTTTCCAACTGGAGGCTCCCTGCCTCGGAGCTTTAGCCACGTTCCTGTGGAAAGGGGCAAGCTTGTGATGCCCTCGACAAGGGTCTTTCTGGCTCTGCTGTGCTGGATTCCAGGATGTGAGAAATCCCCGTGAGAATTCTACTTCCAAGATCCTTCAGCCCTGACACATTCTGCAGAGTCAGGGTGAATGGTCATGGTGGTCAGAGTCACAAGGCCAGCCTGTGAGCAACTCCAGCAGACAGAAGTGTGGGAGCGGCCACAGCTTTGTGCAGGGCCATGTCCGGACGCCAAGCAGCTCTCCTCTGCCATCTAGTGGGCACTTGGTGACAGTCCAGAGCCACCTTCCACAAGTCTGAGCCCTGGGTGAGCCAGGACAACTTGCACAGGGGAAAAAGAAAGCTTAGGGATTCAGGATTTAGATGAAAGATCAAGTTCTTGTCAATAGCCAAATTCTGTTGGCTTTTTGAAAACTCATTTTTCACAATAAATATACATACAATTGTTGTTTACAAAAATAAACAAATGGGGACAGGCATTTGGTGCACAGTGAAAGACGCCCCACAGGATGCCTGCATCCCATATGAGTGCTTGGGTTTGAGTCTTGGCTCTCTGGATTCCACCTTCCTGCTAACGGGCATTCTGGAAGGCAGCAGTGACAGCTCAGGTACCTGGGTCCCTGCCACTCTCATGGAGACCTATATTGAGTTCCTGGCTCCTGGTTTCATCCTGGCCCAGCCCCAGTCGTTGTGTGGATTTGAGGAGTGAACCAGAAGATGAAAATCTGTGTTCTGTCTCTCTCATTCATATAAATAAGTAATTTTGAAAATGCACAAACAATATTTTAAAAAAACTTGTGGCTTTGATATCATCCTTTATGTTCTCAAGGAGTACTTTCAGGATATCAGGCAGGGGGTGGTGGTGAGTAAACAACTGGGGATCATTCCAGTTTCATTTCTGCACATTCTAACATTCACTGAGCGCTACTTTAGGTGGTGGTGGTGGTGGTGGTGGGAGGGACAGAAAGGGTAGATATTTAGTTTCCTGGGTGTATAGAGATGACAATGAGAAAATTTTTCATTTCATTCCATGCTAAAAACAAGCAAACACACACATTATAGAAATCCTTTGTTCCTCTTCGTCCCTCCTGGCACTGCTGGGTGGGGCAGGAGATGAAAGCTCCCTCCAAGGAGAGGCTTCCTCCCTCTGAATTCCCAGAGCCTCCTCCATTACCACGTTGCCGACACTGAGGAGGTCTGAAAACACAATACCATCGTTACTACAGAACGACAGCTTCCCTTGTTCTAACACTGGACAACCACTCCTGGTTCTAAATTCCCTCACAACCTCTCAGTTAAGCCTCATGCACTGCAGCAGATCACACGGCAGTTCGTGCTGCCCTCTCCCCCCTGCACACACGGCGGGGCCGGGCTGTGTGCCAGCCCAGCCAAGTGGCAGCCTGTGGCGCAGAGCTGTTGCTCCTCAGCCCAGCGTCGGGGCCTCGTCTTGTCCAGCCTGCACTCTCTTCAGGCCCGTAATTCCTCACTTCACACGACACACACCTTGTGGCAGTCAAAGGCCTATCTCCTTACGTGACTGGGAAAACAAGAGGAAGGATGAAACAGGGAGAACCCCTACCTCGGGCTCCAGAGAACAACTCAGCTCAGAACCATAACTGGGCCTTTTCTGGCGTGCAGAAGAGTCAAATGTTTTTAGCTGTCTCTCCAGCTTTAACAGACGAAGGCAGGGACACAGCAGATCAGGTCCCTGCATCGCACCATGAAGGGATGTGGGCTAAGAGAAACAGCATGGTGTAACAAATGGACTTACTATTTATACCTGAAGTAAAAGCTACCATTTATTGAGTACCTATATGGACCAGGCTTTTAGCTAGATGGGTCACATAAATAAAAGCTACTGAGAGTGACAGCAGCATCCACCAGGTGTTCCTCCTGTGTCAGGATTCACAGCTACTGTCCCTTCAGAGTCCTCTAACTTTGTGATGGCACCAGTGATCATCATGCCACCCCCACAGAAAAGCCACCTGAGCAGGGCTGGTACCTGGCCTGGGTCACAGTGAGAAGTGGCTCAGCTGAGATCCATACCCAGGCCAGTCTAACCCCAGAGCATAGCACAGTCTGCTTCGGCCTTTCTGCATCACCAAGGCCCTCTCTTGACTCCTTGGCCCACATTCCAGTACATGCTGACCAGAAGCTTACCTTCTTTGCAGTTTCAAATTCTAATCCTTCCAGGGCTTCCATGGCCAGCTCACGCCAATCAGTGTCAGTCACACCCAGGCAAGCAATCTGGTAGGCTTCTTTGAACATTTTCCTATCCAGGTACTGGTACATGGGAGCAGACTATAGGATTTTGTCAATAAGAAAAAAGAAAATTATTTTCAGAGAGAAATGGGGAAAGTCAGGTTCACACAAACCCTGTCTCCATCACCAGATAGGTGTGCCGACTTCATTACTAACACCTGCAGTAGGACACACCAATGAGCAGCAGCATGCTTCCCAGCCTCGCCCAGCCCACCTTGCCACCTTCCCTCCCGCCATCTCCCCAACACACACACACACACACACACACACACACACACACAGCAACAGTGCTCCAAACGCAGATTTCCTTCCACTCTCCTCTTTCCCACCTCCAGGACTGCCTTGCCACAAGATGTCACCCTGGCCTGCAGAGCCCTCTGCCCTCTAGAAACTGCTTGATCAGCTTTTAAGATATGATAAAATGCTGCCTCTTCTGCAAAGTCTTCCCTGACCCCTCAAGCCCCTACCTCAAGGGAAGGAGCCTGAACTTAATTCTGCCCTTGTCCAGATTTCAGGTTGTGCTGTCATCACACACCTGTCTCCCCAACAAGGCCATGCACAACTGAGGGCCAACAGCAGGGTTGTACTTAACTTATATCCATCCCTCAGCAGGCTCGTGGTTTATATCCGCTGAAACAATCAATGACATCACCGGCAGGAAGGGGTCTAATACGGCCTCTTCTTAAGAGAGCCTGAGTCCGAGAAAGGAAAGTGGCTTACTCCAGGTTACTCGGAAGGCCCTGGAGATCAGCCTCCCAGACTCCAGAGCTAAGGACCAACTCCCTCCAACAAGACAGCTACCTTCCTGTGAATACCTGTGAACACACCTAGGAACTTCTCTTTTTCAGGTTTGCAAAGTGTTTCTGGATGTGCCCAGCAGCCGGCTCAGCAGGCATTATTCTCCCTATGGGGAGCCCAGAAGGCTGAAACTCAGTGACTGGTCCCATCACACACACCTGGCAAGTGGGAACCCTGAGGCCGGAGCCACAGTGACTGGGTTCCAGGTTCTTTGCTCCCCTTCCTTGTGAAAGTGTGCAGGCATGTGTGTGTGCACGGCGTCTTTAACAGCGACAGCCCCTGTCCTTGCTCTGGGACCAGTCAATGTGCTTCAGGGACGCGCACCTCCCCTCTGGGATTCACAGACAGTAGCGATCAATCAGCCAGTGCTTCTGCACTAATGGTTCCCAAATGTGGAACTGGATGTGCTATTTTCTCCATTTGGGGCTTTTATCTTTGAAATTTCCAGATCCATTTTTCGGCTTTGGAGTTGAAAGCAGTTTTTCTGCTTCAGCCAGGCCACACCGTGGCAGACTCAGCTGCTCCTCTGCACTTCTCTGTGTTGTGCAGTGCCACTCCCTTGCTTTCCTTTAGTGGGGCAGCAGGGCAAGACCTAAAGAGCGGGTGAGCCCGGCTCAGCCATGTTTGAGCAGGGTGCCTACTGAGTAAATCCTTGACTTCTGTTAGGTGCCCTGCCCAGCCCAAGCTACCACGGGCAAAGACAGAGGTGTTTTGAAAATAATAACTGTGGGACTGGTGTTGTAGTGCAGCTCATTACACTGCCACCAGCAATGCTGACTCCCCATAGGAAGTTCCACTTCTGATCCAGTTCCCTGCTCACGCACCTGGGAAATCAGCCGAAGGTGGCCCAAGTGCTTCGGTTCCTCCACCCATGTGGGAGACTCAGATGGAGTTCCAGGCTCCTAGCTTCGAGATGGTCCAGCCCTGGCAATTGCAGCCATTTGTAGAATGAAGAAGCAGATGGAAGGTCCATCAATATGTCTCTCCCTTTCTTTCTGTAACTCCCTTTCAAATAAATTTTTTCTTTTTTTAACCATTTCTTTCTTTATTTGAAAGTCAGAGTTACACAGAGAGAGGAGAAGCAAAGAGAGGTCTTCCATCTGATGGTTCACTCCCCAAATGGCTCCAATGGCCAGAGCTGTGCCGATCTGAAGCCAGGAGCCAGGAGTTTCTTCCGGGTCTCCCACATGGGTGCAGGAGCCCAAGGACTTGGGGCATCTTCTACTGCTTTCCCAGGCCATAGCAGAGAGCTGGATGGGAAGTGGAGCAGCCGGGTCTTGAACCAGCGCCCATATGGAATGCCGGCATTTCAGGCCAGGGTGTTAACCCGCTGCGCCACAGCGCCGGCCTCTCAAATAAATTTAAAAACAATAACTCGCTGGGCAGAAATCAAGTGCGCCCATCGCCTCCTTTGCATTTCTCAAAGCCAGCTCCTTCCCCCGACTCCTCTCCAGCCACAATCCCCCTCTCCTCTTCAGGAAACACCTCCTCAGGGCTTGGTTCAAGTTTCCCCCACCCTCTGAAAATTTCTCAAACGCCCCCGCCCAACCAGCCTTCCTGAACTCCTTTAATGAGCACCCTCTGTACCAAAGGACGAGTAATTGCACTTTGTGGGTTTTGGCTATTTTATGACTCTCTGTAATAATAACAAATAATAATAGGAATTGGGCCACACAGACCTGAAGATGACTGTAATTAACCCCATTTCACAGAAAAGAAAATAAGACCCCAAACAGGAGATAAGTTGCTCAAGTTGCAGCTGGTCAAGGTGGCAGGTCAGAGCTTGGAGCTGCAGCTCTTCCCCTAAAGCTCACGGCGCCCTGCCCGAGCATCCCGTGGGGGCACACCAGCTGGGAGCAGATGACCGGTAACATCTGGACATGCTTGGGAGGCACAATCTGAGTGGGAGTTTTAAAAATATACGAATTGAACAAGTACCGTGTGAGCTATACTTCACCTCACTGCTGCATTCCAAACGCGTCACCACAGTGCGCAGAAGCCTGACCAGGCCTTGTTGCCCTACTTGGCAGCCCTGACAAACCAGTGCTTGCACAAAATGATGTCAATTTCTAAAGGAAACCAAAACTCCCAAGAGCAAGTTTTATGCTCTCTCCCCTGTATCTAGGCCAAAATCACTGGAAACTGGAGGCTGAAGGCAACAGATAAACAGCCTTTGTCTGGGGAGGGCCTTTCCTAACCCTTGGCAGTCCGGACCTGCTGCCTCAGCAGCATGGCTCGGCAGCAAGCAGGACTTTGGCTACTGCCTTGGGAGGTCCTGTCAGAGGAAGCCCTGGGCAGCCCCTTTGGCTCCTCTTGGCCAGGCAAAGTCAGGGAACAGCAAACTGCATTTATTTTTGAGGTCAGGACGGCAATCTTGGGAGAAAACTTTCAATAAAGCACAGTCTGTTTGGCGCGACTGAGTAAGAGTGGGTTCCCGCGGATGTGGTGCATGGGTTTGGGAAGGGAGCAGATGGGGACAGCAAGAGTCCAGGAGGGGCCACCCTGGCTCCCTCCTGCCACCACTTCCACCAGCCTCACTCCCTTGCTTTCTCCTGCTTTCCTTTCTGCTTTTCCCATGTCCTGAGATCTGATTCTACTCGCACTTCCTGAGGAGCTGCTCTGTGTGAGCACCAGTGAGGGCACTTGGCTGTGATTCCTGCGGCCATGAGCCACAAGGGACTCACTGCTCAGAGGAAGAAGTGAACCAGCCTAGGGGCAAGCGGTGTGGCAGGCACAAGGGCAGAGCCCAGGAGAAGGGAAGTCAGAAATCAGCCCAAAAAACTTTCAAATGTCTACAACCTCTGGCCCAGCCATTTTGTTCCTAGGAATTTCTACCAAGGAACTAAGTGGGCTTGATGCAGAGCCTGAGCTAGAACGATGCCCCTACTTTCAAGAGCAGAGGACTGTGAAGGGTGTAAAAGTCCAACAACGTGCGCTGGCTGAGGAAGCTGTGCAACATCTGCATGACAGCATGCAATGCCGCCATGACGCTGCTGGGAGCAGGGTGTGGTTGCAAAGGGCAGGGCACTAGGGATCTTGTGATGCCAGAGTGCAGTGTCTGGTGCCAGGTAGGGCCCAAACTGACCAAGGGGATGACACTGCGCCTCAGTTCTGCAAGCTGTTAGTATGATTCCTTCTTGAGGGTTGAGTTCTGGAGCTGAAGTTTCTCCCTGGTGCCCGTCTCCATTTTGTGACCCCTAGAGAGAGGGGCAGGCAGGCCACACCCACATGGCTTGTCAGTCTCTGCTGTCTGCTCTCCGCCACTCCAGGACTGCCTACGAAAGCCCCCCACTTCTGTGTTGGCCTCTATCTCATTCAGCGGACTATGCTCCCTTTTTGGCTCCCACATTCATTCTCCCTCTCCCTGTCTCTCATTCACACACCAGCACACACGCTTGTGTGCACACCTGGCTGGACTCCTAACTTTGTGGGCTCAAAGATGCGTAACTCACAGTAAAAAAACCCCAGCTGCTGACAACACTGCACACCTCTCCCCATCCTTACCAGACAGGAGGTCAGAAAGACATGGAGGATCAGTGATGCTGGGTCTTCACCCAAAGACAGAGCGGCTGCACAAGGTGGAGACAAGGCTTCAGCTGTCAAGTACACAGCACCTTTCTCAACCCCACATTGCCACTTTGCTTTCTTCTCTCTCTCCTTGATACTCTCTGCAAAGCTCGGCTTCCCGTCTCATCTGCCCTGCCCCGAGGACAGCAGGCTGGGCCTGGGTTACCTGCGGCACCTCCACTGCAGACATGGAGAAGACATGGAGGCAGAAGATTTTGGAGCCATTGAAGCCAACCACGAAGCCCTGTAGCTTTTGCTGGTGCACAGGGAAGGTGCTGGCTTTGATGTTAAGGTAGCCTCCCCCCGAGAAGCAGAGCATGTCCTCACACTGGGTGTTCCAGGCCACACTGTTGGCGTTGGATTCCTACGGGACAGTGAGAAGCCTATGAGAACAACTCTGGCCTTCGACACCCTGCCCATATTTTAGTCAAGTGCCCCTTTAAAGAATCAGTCATGAAAAACTGCTGACAGTGGGATGGAGGGAAAAGGAGAAAAGTAAAGCCAAAAGAAATGGATAGAGACAAGTTTCTTTATGCAGATAGGGTTTTTAAACAAACAAAAAGCTGTTTTTGAGAGGCAGAGAGACTGAGACAGTCAGATAGAAAAAGAGATAGAAACAAACACTCTCATCCATTGGTTCATTCCCCAAATACCCACAAAAAGGACCCAACGGCCAGGGCTGAAGCAGGGAGCCAGTAAAGCAACCCAGGTATTGCACTTGAGTGGCGGAAACCCAAGCACTTGAGTGATCATTGCTGCTGCCTCCCAGGGGCTGCACTGGCAGGAAGCTGGAGGCAGGAAACAAACCCAGGAACGACAATGAACAACACAGACATCGAAACAACTAAGCTACTGGAGTTTCTGACTCTGCATCATGTTTGAAAAAATTAATATTCTCCCAGTATTAGTCACCATGTAGTAAGTAGAAAATTAGCAAAGTGGGACTCCATTGCCTTTAACACTAAATACATATCTCACACACACATTTAAAGTGATGTTTGCCACAGGGTCAATGGTGATTGTTTCTGGGCAGGTAGAATTGTAGGTGCTTTCTCTTTTGTTTTGTTTGCCTGGATTTTTCTCAAGTTATTTTAAACTGGAAAATAAGTTATTATCTCTGCAATACACAATTCACACAGTGTATTTTTATAGTCACCCTGGGAGGTAGCCCCTGCTGCCCCCCTTCCGCTTCTCTGCTGAGCCGTGGAGCCCCAGGGACCAGCAAGACAAATACCTTGATGTCTAGAATCTTTTACAGTGAGCTCAGATTATTTTTATAATAAGAAAAACAATATAGTTGTTTTCATTTGTAGAGGACAGAGTCAGTGGAGAAGAGAAAACCTAGAAAGTTACAGAGAGAGCTGGGAACTTCTCCTGGCAAGGTCTGAGCATAATCTTCTGCCCATCAGCCGGGACCGGGAATCTTCTGGCCATCAGCCGGGACCGGGGAGGACACGTACCTGTCACCCTCATATGATTCCAGGCTCAGATACAGATCACACCTGGAAGCTTCTAACCTACCCACAGGTGTAGCAAGGTGGATGGTATTGAGGCCAAGGGGAAGGGAAGGAATATTTAGGATCCTACTGGGTGCTGGACACTGATCTATGCTCTAGGTCCCTGTTTCTCCCAGTCACAATTCTGTCAGAGGGTAACTGCTAGATGCATCTTAGAAGTAAGGAGAAACAGGCTCAGAGAGGCTCACCAACCTGCTCAGGATCATAGAGCAGGCAATGTGGGTAGGACGTGAACCCATGTCAGCCTGAGGCTACGGCCCTGCTCTCTGTCTCCTTGGTGTTTCTCGGCTAGTGGAGCCAGGTGCCACCCTCCCTCCGACCGGAGCAGCTCTCACCCTCCAGGGACCCCTCCACCCTACTAGTTCTGTTGCCAAAGACAATGAGGAGCCCTGACCAGGGGAATCGATCTGCCCATGGCTGGGAAATGCCACAGCGGCTGTGGAAACCAGTCAGGAGAACTTCTGGCTTTGAGGGGAATTCACTTCAGGCAAATTGGCACTGACCATTCACAAAGCCCTAAAGAGGCAAAGAGGGACAAAGTCAAAAGTCAGCCAGGTCCTGGGCATGAAGCCTTTGGGCTTCTCCTCCAGAGACACATCTCGTCCAGCCGCATTCCGTTTACACTGAATGATGTGTAAACAATGCCTTTCCCTAGAAGGACCTCAAAAGCTCTCATTTTTATAGTATCCCCATGGAAGAAAGAGAAGGGGCGCTCTCCCTAATCCCTTTCCTTCTTTCAGGTGAGAAACCAGTCCTGTGTCCTTACTGAGCCTCAGGTCACTCACAGAAAAAGGCCTCTGGGAGGCAGGATGCAGACTTCTTCAAGAGAATCGGCAGGCTAGTCCATCCGCTGAGAACCCACAGCAAGCTTCACCTGGACTATTCTATCATTTATTGCTCAGAGTAAACAAGTAAGAAAGCTGTTCCTTATCCCTCCCCCTAGCAAGGAAACCAGAGGCTGGCCCAGGCCCTGGAACTCTGTGTGCCTAGAGGAGCAGGACTCCCTCCCACCTCCCAGATCTGTGCCTGTGCCCAGCTCCTACTGGTCACTCCTCCTCCCAGAGATCCCCCCCAACAGCCCGGGGCAGGCGAGCACTTCCTGCAGGGACTGGGAAGTATAGCAGGGTCTCTAACCAAAGGCCCGTGTCCTCCAGCACCTTGCAGACGTCACCTGAAAAAGCAGCTCCTTGGTGTGGACGTCATAGACAAGGCATGTGTCGTTTTCATCCACCACGGCCAGCTTGTTTCGGGAGGCACTCATGTCCAAGCAACGCACAGCTGTGGCCTGCTTCAGCAGGACAATGGCAAAGAGATTGTCCACGAAGATCTTCAAGATCTGGCGAAATTTCAGAGAAAAAAGTGTGAGTCACCATGGCAACAGACCCTGGAACACCGCCAGGCTGCTGGAATCCCATGTGTTCTACGAGAACAACTCCTACTGACTCCACCAGAAGCTCTGTGCAGAGAAAAAGACTCATTAAAAGGAAGACAGGGTGGGGGTGTGGCTTATCCTTAGGAGACCAGAGTGTGGTTCATCAGAGGTCCTTGAAGAGATGACAGGCCCTACACGCCAAACTCATTTCAGGGCCTGCTCAGCCTGGAGATTCGCTAATGACATTACCCACACTGTGGGGTCAGAGAGACCCTCTAGCAAAGATCTGAGGCACACACTCACACAGGAAGAGGCTACTGTAAACACTGATAAAACACCTGGCATAAAATGGTGATGCCGCTGCTCCTGACACCAGCTACCATTTACTGATAACCCTGCGAAAAAGGCAGTGTTACCCTCATTTGTAAAACCTGCATCTCAGAGAGGCGAAGTGATGTCCCTAGGGTCACACAGATAGAGAGTAGCTAAACAAGAACATAACCCCTTGGGGCGGGCATTATGGTGGGGCTTCTGATCCAGCTCCCTGCTAATGCATCCTGGGAAGCAGCAGACAACAGCTCAGGTGCTTGAGTTCTCTGCTACCCACGAGGAATGGAGTTCTGAACTCCAGGCTTTGGCTTGGCCCAGTCCTGGCTGTTGCAAGCATTTGGGCAATGCATCAGTGGGGAGACAATCTCCTCACCCCTACCCTCTAAACCCCAGCTTGTCATTCTGCCTTTCATATAAATAATAACATGACCTCAGGCCAACCTGACTCCAAAGATCAGACGCTCAGCCTCATGTGAGAAGTGACAGCTGACTGCGACAAAGAAGCAGGCTCTTCCCCTACTTGGGTATTGCTGCTCAACTCCTGCTGATTTCATGCTCTGTGGCTTCCATCCCCAGCAAAGACCTGACAAGCCTCAGCCACAAGCCATCTGCTACACAGCTTGGCTCTCAGGCTAATGCAGTTATATTTTCACTTTCAAACTTCCATGTAGCCCACTTAGAACTTCTCTTATGGAAAACACACACACACACACACACACACACACACACACACAGAAATCTGTTAAACTCTGGGTAACCCAGATTTTCCATATCTATTTGTCCAAAGGATCCATTCTTCTTACAGCTTCTGCTAATATCCTGAGGATCCAGCACTCTCTAGGACACACACTAAATACACTGTGATAATCCACTCACTGCTCTAATAGGGATCTGACCCAAGTAATGATCTCTGCCTCCCTCCCCAGCAAGCCACTGAAGCTGCATCTCCCACAAATCTCCCAGCCTGGGTGACCTTAAGCACACTAATCTCTACATGCGATCCAGAGACCGCAGCATCACCTCTACCAGAATGTGACTGTGCCCTGAGTCTGAAGGCCACTGCCCCTTTAGCCTGAAGCTGTCCTCATAAAACTAAACTCCAGGCTGCCCTCCATTGCACGAAGTCCTTTCTCTCACTGGGAACCCATCTCAGGGTCACCATTAGACAGGTCACGTGTGGGTCAGACAGTGAGTTGATGCGGTTCACCAGGAGGCACTCACCTGTCCATTCTTCAGGCCCACTAACAGACCTTCCCTTCCAGGAGGCCCCCCGATCACCTTGATGTACCGAATGAGAGACTCCATCTGCCACTCCCGTTCCTTCACTCCGCTGAAAGATAGGCACTGCAGGCGTTTCTCCTAGAAAGTAAGCCTAGTTCTGCATGGGTGTTCAAGAGAGTAAGCACCCCGGCCCCCCCACGGAGGTCTTCCCGCACCTGATGGGTGAAAAATACCTAGCCCTCAGTATCCCATCTCCTCCCTGTGGTTGGCACTATGAATCCTTCACAAGTCTTCCCTGTGGAGCCCTGTGCAGCTTCAGATCTTCAGCACAGCTCTCCAGGCAGCCAAGGCCATAGGTAGCACCCAAAAGCATGCCTATCTGCCACACTGTCCTGCAACTGCAGCACTACTGAGCTGCTTCAAGTTCTGGGCTCTTAGAGCAGTTTCAACAGTATTTTATACTACAGTGACCTCTGAAAGACTTGTTCTACTTTTACTACTTCCAGGAGGCCTGGGTGAAACCAAATCTGCCTTTACTTCCAAGATTAAGATGCTGGACTAGCCTTTGCTCAGTCTTCCCAAACTTTTCTTGGCATTGAGCTACATACTTCCTAGGAATCTACAGTGAGGACATTCTTTCCATGAAAAACTTGAGGAAGTAAAACTTCCTTAACTATTACTGAGTTAATAAAAATTTTCATGTGTCTATGCTTCTTAAAAAAAATCTGTCTTCACTGTGTGAAATACCAATTTTTGTCTAATCCTGGTATAATAAAATACCTTCAATACAAAAAAGTATTCTCCAGTTTATGGCTCTGACTTTCCCAGAGAGTCCAACTCATCCAGAAGCACAGTGACAGATAACGAACAGCCACCGGGTTTGAGGGACCAGGACTTGCTTTCTAGTAACCCTCGTGGGGGCACCAACCCATGGGGGGAGAGAGGCGGGTTCTGCCTGACCTCTCCAGCAGGCTGCTGCCCACCTGGCAGAGGATGATGTGATTGGAACACACCACCAGCAGGTTGCATTCAAACTTCTTGACCATCTTCTCCTTCACCCGATAATGCATGTCCGACGAGTCACTGGAATACAGCTCATAGATGAGGATTTTCTCCGGCAGCTGGATAGCTAATCGATTTTTGTAGATGGCAATTTTCTTGACAAGCTCTTTACATTTGATACGAACTGTCAAAGAAAATGAAATCCAGCTCTAGTGAGAGGTTGTTAAGTAAGGTAGAAGGGAGAGAAATTAAAAGCTATCATTTACTTAGTGCTACTGGCAATTACAGCAAGATACTCTCATTAAAACATCCTTGTGGAGCATTCTAATAATCAGCTCGGCTCAGCACTGGGATCCAGAGCAGCACATGGGACTCTCTGTGGTCCAAAGCATACAACCCAGTATGGGGACTCAAACCCTGAGGGCTTCTAGAAATCAGAAGCTCCACTGCATGGCCCCTAATGACCGGGAGCTGCCTACGCAAGCCACCTCACCTCTGACCACTTCCCACCCACTTTCTTGACAATAGGGTCCTGCCCAAAGTTTAAAGGACACACTAGGCTGCACACACTCACTGTGGACCAGATAATGTCCCAGAAGGTACACTGTGCTGGGCCTGGAACCCTGATCCTCTGGTTGAGCCTCCGCCCACCACTACCCCTGCTTATCTCTGGCAGAAGAACTGCCAGCAAACAGGTGGAGACTGGGCTGAGAGAGAAGTAACCCAGAGTGACTCTGACCAGTGAGGACAAAGGTCCAAATGACCCATGAAGTTCACCTATCCAGCTCTCAAAGCCATCTTCCCCTACTCAGGGAGTCCATGTACTCCTAGGAATTATTCATGAAATGTTTTAAGTTTGTGCATTCTTCTAGACAGCGTTCATTGCTCTTGTGAGACTCTCAAAGAACTCTAGATCTCCTGGCCCCGGATGAAAAAAGACCCTAATGGTCTAATATGTTTTCCAAAGGCCAAGGGAAAAAGATTTCCTGTCATTTCAAATGCCCTATCATTGGCACTCAGTCTATCCCTCTTCCAAATGTCTGGAGGACAAAGGCGCGGCACTTGTTCCTTACCTTTTTGCTCTGTGATCAGGTGCTGCACGATGACATCAGTCATGCTATCCCTATAGGCATAGCGGTCCTTGTAGAGCCCGTGAACCGTGCTGAAGATGAGCTGGTAGAAGGAGATGGTGCCGTCCTGGCAGCCCACCACCTGCAGGGGTACAGAGGTGTGCATTTCCCGCTCTCCACTGGCAACCTACTCCCCCATTTGCCAGGATATATGCTAATGATCCAGTTTGCTGAACACAGCCAATTCTCAGTGCCTCCTGCAATGGCCCAACAGAGTGAATGTCCTGTTCTTACCACATAGTTGGAGTCGGGTTTCACTCTGCACGTCCACACCCAGGAGTTCTGCTCCCCAACAGTCCCAAGTCGCACTCCATCTTTGGTGAAAAGGGACACTTGCTTGTCTGACCCCCCCAGCAAAATGTACTCCCCTTTAGTAAAGTAGCTGACACAGCAGGGGTCAAAGTTCAGTGATCGTTCCCTCATAATCTGAGGAAAGAGAACACACATCAAAGGAAAAACCATTTCTGAATTCATAATAACTTCAAATAATTAACAGCTTTTCTCACCAACTTTATTTTTTTAACAACTTATGTGAAAGGCAGACTTAGAGAGAGAGAGAGAGAGAAACAGAGAGAAAGTCTTCCATCTGCTGGTTCACTCCCCAAATGGCAGAAATAACCAGAGCTGGGCCAGGCTAAAGTCAGGAGGCAGGAGTAAGAAGCTCCTTCTGGGTCTCCCACGTGGGTGCAGGGGCCCAAGCATTTGGGCCATCCCATGCTGCTTTCCCAGGCACACTCTCAGGGAGTTGGATTGGAAGTGGAGTAGCAGGGACTTCAGCTAGTGCTCATATGTGATTCTGGCATCTCAGGTGGCAGCCTTACACACTATGCCACAATGCCAGTCCCCTCACCAGCACTGATAGGGAAGAGTTGGGGAGAGAGAGAGCTGGCCAGCCTTATCTCTCCAGTTATTCCAACATGGACACACCCTTCTCTTCCTCACCATCTGGTCAAATCCTCAGTTCCCAAAGTCAGTAGCATCTTCCCCAGTCCCACCGAACTGGCCCAGGAGTGTGTCAATCCTCAGCCATCCTAGGTGCTGGGATGGTCTGTATCCTGTAGGCCCTCCTCCACATACAGCCCGAGCTATGGCTCAGTGGTTCTCTTCAGCCCCTCAGCTTCTTTCTTCCTTTCTTCTTTCACAAAGTTGAGTCTATTCAGTTTAAAAAGGCTGCCCTTAGGGCTGGTGCTGTGGCATAGAAGGCTAAGCCTCTCCCTGCAGTGCCATCATCCCATATGGGCATGGTTTGAGTCCTGGCTGCTCCACTTCTGATCTAACTCCTGCTAATGCTCCTGAGAAAGCAGCAGAAGATGGCCAAGTACTTGGGCCCCTGCCACCCACATGGGAGATCACAAAGAAGCTCTTGGTCCCTGGGTTCGGCCTGGCCCATCCCTGGCTGTTGTGGCCACTTACGGAATGAACCAGCAGATAGATCTCCCTCTCTCTCCTTCTGTTTTTCAAAAAGTAAATAAACCTTTAAAAAAAAAAAAAAAAAAAAGACTGTCCTTTAATTCTGAAACTATGCCCATCCTACTTTTCTTTATAACTAATTTTTTTAAAAGATTTATTTATTTGAAAGAGCAACAGAGAGAAGAAGAGACAGAAATCTTCAATCCACTAATAAACTGTCCAGATGGTCACAACATCCACATCTGGGTAAGGCCGAAGCCAGGAGCCAGGAACTCCATCCTGGTCTCCTACGTGTGTGGCAGGGACTCAAGCATTTGGGCCATATTCTACTACCTTCCCAGGCACATGAGCAGAGAACTGGATCAGAAGTGGAGCAGCTGGGTCTTAAATCAGCACTCTGATATGGGATGCTGTCATCACAAGTGGAGGCCTTTTTTTTTTTAAGACTTATTTATTTATTTGAAAGGCAGAGTAACAGAGAGGCAAAGGTAGACAGAGAGAAAGAGAAAGAGAGAGAGAAACAGAGAGAGGTCTTCCATCTACTAGTGCACTCCCCAAATGCCACAATCGCCAGAGCTGGGCCGAGCCAAAGCTAGGAGGGAGGAGTTTCTTTCAAGTCTCCCAAGTGGGTGCAGGGGCCCAAGGACTTGGGCCATCTTCCACTGCTTTCCCAGGCCATAGTAGAGAGCTGGATTGTAAGTTGAGCAGCCAGGACTTGAACTAGCACCCCATATGGGATGCCAGCACTGTAGGCGGTGGCTTTACCCATCATGCCATAGCATTGGCCCCAAGGCACTTCTTTATAACTAATTTTTTTTTTTTGACAGGCAGAGTTAGACAGTGAGAGACAGAGAGACAGAGAGAAAGGTCTTCCTTCCGTTTTGAGACATAATTCACATACCATACAATTCACCCATTTAGAGTCTATAATCAATAGCTTTTTTATGTATACATTATTAATCTGTTACATATTATACACTAATAGATTGGATTATTATATTATTATATATTGTTATCAACTTCCATGTATAAGGTAGAACATGTGGTGTTTGTCTTTGTATATCAGGCTTTATTATCTTTATAATGAAATAATTAAGTGATTCTTATATTCTTTCCTAGCCCCAAATTAATTCTGTGACTTAAGTTTTTGATTATTTCATAAACTGAAGCTCATCAGTAAATTGTTTTTTTTCCCTTATCAGCAAGCAAGGAAAACAAAAAATAACTAAATTGCTTGTATGGTTAATATACAAATTGAGGAAAATGACACCCTAAAATATTAATGGTTAACTGTAAAAAAAGTAGGAAATTTGGCAAGAGAAAGGTTAGTTTTTTTACAGTATACATAACGAATACTTGTTGTTTTTAAAATTTTTAAGATTTATTTATTTACTTGAAAGACAGAGTTACAGAAAGAGGTAGAGCTAGAGAGAAAGAGAGAGGTCTTCCATCCACTAGTTCACTCCCCAAATGACCACAATGGTCAGAGCTGAACTGATCTGATGCCAGGAGCCAGGCATTGTAAGTGGAGCAGCTGGGAATGGAACCAGAGCCCATATGGGATGCCGGCCCTGCAGGCCAGGGCTTTGACCTGCTGCACCACAGCGCTGGCCCCAATAAAATGATTTTTAAAGACAGTAACAGGAAATAACATTAGAACTATATAACATCGAGATTTTACTGGTTTAGTAGCAAATTCGAAGGTAAGCTCTGAAGTCAACTTCAGTAGTTAAAATTTCACTCCTTGAGTCAAGCACTGCTGCCAAAGCAGATCTGCTCCGTGCACGGCTGGGAGGCGCAGAGTCTGGAGATTTGTGGGTCAGGTAACTGCAGCGTGCTAACCAAGTATACACCGGGCAGTGTTGTGACAGAAGAGCTCACCTGGGGTAAGGGAGGCCCAGGCCTTACTCTTCGTGTTTCTACAAGGGTTCTCTCCAGGTGTGTGGAGGCTGGAGCAGAAGGGACAATCCTAGACCGAGTCATCTTGGAACACTTCACTCAGTGATCACCAGTCAAGAGACTATAAGCTGGGGGTCGGCGCTGTGGTGCAGGGGGCTAAAGCCCTGGCCTGAAGCGCTGGCATCCCATATGGGCGCCACTTCTAGTCCTGGCTGCTCCTCTTCTGAGCCGGCTCTCTGCTATAGCCTGGGAAAGCAGTAGAAGATGGCCCAAGTCCTTGGGCTCCTGCACCTGCGTGGGAGACCCAGAGTAAGCTCCTGGCTCCTGGCTTTGGATCAGCGCAGCTTCGGCCGTTGTGGTCATTTGGGGAGTGACAGAGTTACCTCTGTAACTCTGTCTTTCAAATAAATAAAATAAATCTTTAAAAGAGAGAGAGAGAGAGAGAGACTATAATCTGAAGCCAGCTCCCAGGCTGGCTACAGCTCAGCAGTTGCCTCTTCCTTCATCAGCACCAGTTTACAGCCTACACGCTGGTGGCGGTTCAAGTCCTGCAGGCAGTGGCTCACTCTCCAGCCTGTATGCCAAAGCCCTTCCTTTGTTGTTTCCCAGTAACCAGCTTTGTAGAGAGCTCTGAGATCTCTCCTCTGTTGGAGCTTCTGAAAGGCCCTATTTCCTTTTTTCTTTTCAATCTAGTCACATAGTTGTGTAATCATCATCTAATTCTACAACATTTCCATCAACCCCCAATAAAACATTACTACGCCTGTTAGCTGTCAATCTCAATTCCTCTCTCTTTATTCCTGACAATCACTAACCCACTTTTTGTGTCTACACACAGATTTGCCTGAGCTAGACATTTCATATAAATGGAATCACATACTACGTGGCCTTTTCTGTCTGGTTCATCCAAGTTATAGCATATGAGGATACTTCAAAAAAGTTCACGTAAAATTGAATTAAGTAAGTTTATTTTGGTCTAAAAAAATTTTTGAAATCCACACTTTTTCATAATATTCATTTTTTGGGAGCTGGTGCTGTAGTGTAGTAGGTTAAGCCTCTGCCTTTGAAACCGGCATCCCATATGGATGCCATTTCATGTCCCAGCTGCTCTTCTTCTAATCTAGCTCTCTGAAAACAGCCTGGGAAAGCAATGGAAGATGTCAAAGTGCTTGGGCCCCTGCATCCATGTGGGAGACCCAGAAGAAGCTTCTAACTCCTGGCTTTGGGTCAGCCCAGCTCCAGCCATTGTGGCCATTTAGGGAGTGAACCAACGGATGGAAGACCTCCCTGTCTCTCTCTCTATATATAACTCTGCCTCTCAAATAATAAACAAACATTTTATAAAATAATATGTATTTTGCATGAACATTTTGAAGACCTCTTGTATGTTAGTACTACATTCCTTTTCATTGCCAAATCACATGCCATGACATGCTATCCCATGTTTTATTTATTCCATCTTTCGGCTATTATGCACAATGCTACTATGAGCAGTGATGTACAAGCTTTGCTGTAGACAGGTTATCATTTCTCTGCAGCAAATCCCTAGAAGGGGATGACGTTGTGGTGCAGAGGGCTAAGCCACCACTGTGATACCTGCATCCCACATGGGAGTAACAGTTTGAGTCCCGACTGCTCTGCTTCCCATCCAGCTCTAATGTGCCTGGGAAAGCAGCGGCAGATGCGTCAAGTGATTGGGCCCTTGCATCCATGTGGGAGAACCAGAGAAGCTCCTGGCTCCTGGCCTCAGTCTAACCCAAGTCTGGCCATTGTGGTCTTCTGGGGGGTGAACCAGCAGATGGAAGAGACTTCTCTCTGTAGCTCCCTCTCTCTAACTCTGCCTTTCAAATAAATATATGTCTTTAAAAAAAAAAAAAAATCGGGGCCGGTGCTGTGGTACAGCGGGTTAAAGCCCCGGCCTGAAGCGCTGGCATCCCATATGGGTGCCGGTTCTAGTCCCGGCTGCTCCTCTTCTGATCCAGCTCTCTGCTATAGCCTGGGAAAGCAGTAGCAGATGGCCCAAGTCCTTGGGGCCCTGCATCTGCATGGGAGACCCAGAGTAAGCTCCTGGCTCCTGGCTTTGGATCGGTGCAGCTCCGGCCATTGCGGCCATTTGGGGAATAAACCAGTGGATGGAAGATCTCTCCCTCTCTCTCTGCCTCTCCTCTCTCTGTGTAACTTTGACTTTCAAATAAATAAATAAATCTTAAAAAAAAAAAAAATCTCCTGAGCTTAGCTTCCAAGATCTTGCTCGAAGCCACAATGAACATCTCACAGCTGCCCAAGTGGCTCCAGCCCTCCCAGGCCTCCAAGCCCTCACCTGTGCTGCTTTCTGCCCAGCCCCGGCCCAGCCACAAGCGCTCTTTCCCTTTCCTCTACAGACAGCACCCCCTCCAGGAAACAGCCCCGTCTCTCTGCCCGAGGTTGGTGCTCTCACAGCCTGTGTGCCCGGCTCCCCAGTGTGTCTCTCACTATTTTGCAGCTACAGGCTCAAGTTCATGTCTCCCCCACAAAATAAAGCCTGAGCTGCTTATTGCCACCTGAGGTTTATGCTGCCTGAGGGGTGTCTTTGTGAATAAAAAGACTAAGGATGATTAAAATTATTTAATGAATACTGTTTGTTAAAGAAATAGCTCTTGAGGGGCGAATGCTGTGGTGCAGAGGGTTAAAGCCCTGGCCTGAGGCGCAAGCATCCCATATGGGTGTGGGTTCTGGTCCTGGCTGCTCCTCTTCCAATCCAGCTCTCTGCTGTGGGATAGCAATGGAGGACGACCCAAGTCCTTGGGGCCCTGCACCCATGTGGGAGACCGGAGGAAGCTCCTGGCTCCTGGCTTCAGGTCGGTGCAGCTCCGGCTGTTGTGGCCATCTGGGGAGTTAATCAGCGGATGGAGGACCTCTCTCTCTGTTTCTACCTCTCTCTGTGGCTCTGTCTTTCAAATAAATAAAATAAATCTTTTTTTAAAAATATTTTATTTATTTATTTGAGAGGTAGAGTTACAGACAGTGAGAGAGAGAGAGAGAGACAGAGAGAAAGGTCTTCCATCCGTTGGTTCACTCCCCAATGGCCACAACGGTCAGAGCTGCGCCGATCTGAAGCCAGGAGCCAGGAGCTTCTGGGTTTCCCATGTGAGTGCAGGAGCCCAACGGCTTGGGCCATCTTCTACTGCTTTCTCAGGCCATAGCAGAGAGCTGGATTGGAAATGGAGCAGCCGGGACTAGAACCAGCACCCATATGAGATGCCAGAGCCGCAGGTGGAGTATTAACCTATTGCGCCATAGCGCCGGCCCCCAAAAAAATAAATCTTAAAAAGAAAAAAAAAGATATAGCTCTTGAAATCCACTTTTTCCTTAAGTTCAATTTATAAACATTTTCCTACCAGTAGTAAAAGTGAACGATCAACTGGTTTTGTTCAGTGAACTCAATTTCCAAACAGATCATAAAACACTGTAAATATCCATTTCCATTTACAGCTCTGCTAATTCCCTTACTAATTTAAACTGCAATGATAAGATTAATACACACAACTCTTCTTTCTTTTTCATAAATTTTACATGCCCTAACAACCAAAAGTTTCTCTGTTTCTTATACTAATAAGAAAATGAAAAATCTTGAGTCACAACACAGAAGGCTGGCAGCTCCTGCTGACAGCTCGGTAGCTCCTACTGGCCCAGCCCTCCGGCAGGCAGCCAGTGCAAACTCTGGACCAACTGGGAACAACCGGGCGGAGGCTGTGGGGGTCAGCAGAGGCGAGCAGACTCTGGGACCGGCACTGGGAGAGCTTCTCCTTTTTATTTATTTATTTTTTAACTCCTTTTTGCCTAGGGGCAGACCTTGTCAGCATCATGCTGGGTAAGAAAAGAACTTCTGAAGAGACAGTAGTAGAAAGTGAAGTGGGAAATAAGAGAAAAGCAGCACAAAAATTCTGCTGAGTTGTCTGAACACTCTTGAATGTGTGATGCAGAGGCCAAGCAGCCTAACTAATGCACAGAGATTTTAGCTGCAGCCTATCATTGAAAACACAGAATCTGAATTTCGAGTCCAGCAAAGTAAATTGCCTGCTTACTTACACACACACACACACACACACACACACACTCTCTCTCTCTCTCTCTCACGCGCACACACACACACACACACACACACACAGAAACACACTCATCTTCAGAGGAAGGTGGCAGAAATGAGTCTCCAGTTTGTATAACTCACAATTTTCCAGAATACAATCCAAAATTCCAAAGAGCAAAATACAAACAATATTCAAGAGAAAAGACAATAAAGAATGATCTAAGATACCCAGATGTTAGAATTAACAGATGAAAATTTTAAATCAGCCTTTTAAGCTATGATTAAGGATATAAACAAAAACATGTTAGTAATGAATGAAAAAACAGGGAAAAAAAAGAACCAAACAGAAATTTTACAACTGAAAAACACAATTATCAAAATGCACTGGATGATTCTAACAGAGACTATTAGATTACAGCAGAGTCAACGAAGTTTGAATACTCAACAACAGAAATCCTCTAATATGAAGATTAAAAGGAATAAAAAAGGTTTTAAAAAATGAACAGGGTACCCCAGTGACCTGGAGGATATCAAGGTCTAATGTAAGTGTAATTAAGAAAAGGGCAGAATGCAGAAGACAAAGTATTTGAAGAGATAATGGCCAAATTTTCCCACATTTTCTGAAAGACATAAAGACATAAATGTATAGGTTCAAAAATCTCAGTAAGTAGAAAAATTTAATAAAAAATGTTGCACTTACAATCAGAAGCATAAAATTAATTACTCAATACAACTTTTAAATGGTTATCACAATCTAATCTAATGGATATTCTAATATGGATTCTGATACCAGTGTCCTGGGTTCCAAACCAGGGTTGGCCCCCTGACTAAACTGTGTGCCTTTCAACAAACTGCTGACCCTCTCTGTGCCTCAATTTCCTTACACACAAAGTAACTGAACTGATGACAGTACCTGCCTCATAAGGCTGATATAGATTAAAAGAGTTAATCCTTTTAAAGGATTTAAACAATACCTGGAATTCAATAAATATCATCTATTATTATTAAGTCAGATCTTTTAAAATATTATAAGCACCAAAAATGACAAAACTACACAAATTATACCTCAGCCTCATATAAAAGTCTGAGTTTGATTTACCTCACCACCCTATAATTAATTCTAAATCTTGCTAGAGTTAAAACACTTTGCCACCATGAAAACAGTGTTATTTTCTAAAACAAGTTGCAGTTGCCATGTCAGCAGAATGAGGTAGTTTATCATTCAAATGCTTTGGGCCACAACATGAGCTCCAGGGCTGAACAAATGCACGATTATTTCCCATGACCCTAACCATAATGTTGAACTCTTTTCTTACTGTCACTATTGCAACAAGACCCCCTCCTTCCCAGTATAGTGTGGTTATCAATTCCCAGGAGTCTTCAACATCCAGGCCCAGGGTCTGGGACAAAGTGAATGTGCCAGTATGTTTTTGTTAGATGATGGTAGACACATATTTGTGGATGAATAGACAGTGCAAGGGAATCTAGATGTAGGATAACGACAAGGAAGCTTTGGGAAATCAGCCACAGGAAACTGAAAGCACTTCATTACCTGCTACCTTTATCTTTTCTTAATTAAACTGCTGAAGAAATGACCAGTGGTAAGACAGGGGCAGAAAACATGGCCACAAAGCTGGGCTCCACACTCCCGGAACTCTTCTTTTTATCATGACACCAAAAACTGGAAGGTTCCAATTCCGAGCAAGCCATACTTCTTACCTGCTTGGCTATGGTATGTAACCCATACCCGCCTTCACTCTAATCCTTGCCATTTCCTGTCTACTCTCTGGTCATCCTACCATGATGTTCTCTACTTTTTGATCCACATGCCAAAGAAATTAAGAATTCTTGGGCTGGCACCACGGCATAGTGAGTAAAGCCACCACCTGCAGTGCGGGCATCCACCAATAGGTGACGGTTCAAGTCCCGGCTCCACCACTTCTGATCCAGGGCCCTACTAATGTGCCTGAGAAAGCAGTGGATGATGGCCCAAGCACTTGGGCCCCTGCACCCACGTGAGAGACCCAGCAGAAGCTCCTAGATCCTGGCTTCAAATCAGCCCAGCTCTAGCCATTGTGACCATTTGGAGAATGAACCAGTGAATGGAAGATATCTCTCTCTCTCTCTCTCTCTCTCTCTCTCCAAAACTCTGCCTTTTAAATAAATATGTAAATCTTTAAAAATAAAAAAAAAGAAATAAATTCTTGTGAAGCAAGAATCTGACCAATCCACATCTTGTTTTCTATGGCTCCTGAATACCACAGCACTGGCCCCCAGGTTCCACTCTTTACTACCAACTAGGTAGCACCCTGGGTGTAACATTTCACTGACTAAGTCTACTTGTTTCTAAAAAGTTAACAGTGAAGGCCCCTACTTCACAGGATTTTATAAGAAGTCAATGAATAAAGTATATGAAACCCTGAGTGCAGTTCCTGGTATGGTATAAATACTCAACAAGTTGGAGGTAACAATGACCATGGATAATTAATAAAACAAGCTCAGAAAGGGGAATATACCACAATGGGCTTCACTGCAACAGGCTTTACACAGAGTTCCATACCTGTTTTCCACTCAGTTGGTAGAAGGAAAGTTTCTGTCCCCAGTCAGCCACAGCCAGGATGTCATTATGATCCTCTCTAATCAATGGAAGACAAAAGAGGTTATGAGGGGCCATGGTCTGTTGATGAGTGTAGCCCTCAAAGTTCAACAAACAACAGGAAAAAGAAAGCCCTGGCCAGGCTGTCAGGCTGCCAAACTGTCCAGTTTTTCTGAGGCCAAAAGTTGTAATTAGGTCCAACCCATCAATCAGTCCAGTGGGAGGAAGGGGAGGTGGGATGTGCTATTTCACTGAATTCCTGCCATGAGCTGACGGTGCTGGGACAGAGCCAGAGCTGCACAGCAGAAACTCCTCATTCCAGAGCTTCCTGGGTAGCACCAAGCCAGAGCAAGGATACAGACCCTAGAGTGTTCTCCTATGCACTAGCAGATAAGACAGCAGAGAAACACCTTTTGCAGGGGGAAGGCACGGACTATCTGATCTTTTAATAGACAGAGTGGAAGCTTGCTTCTTCTTAAAAAGGAAAAATCTGCCGGCGCCGCGGCTCACTAGGCTAATCCTCCGCCTTGCGGCACCGGCACACCGGGTTCTAGTCCCGGTCGGGGCGCCGGATTCTGTCCTGGTTGCCCCTCTTCCAGGCCTGCTCTCTGCTGTGGCCCAGGAGTGCAGTGGAGGATGGCCCAAGTCCTTGGGCCCTGCACCCGCATGGGAGACCAGGAGAAACACCTGGCTCCTGGCTTTGGATCAGCACGGTGCGCCGGCCACAGCGCGCCGGCCGCAGCGGCCATTAGGGGATGAACCAACAGAAAAGGAAAACCTTTCTCTGTCTCTTTCTCTCTCTCGCTGTCCACTCTGCCTGTCAAAAAGAAAAAAAAGAAGAAGAAAAATCTTACTAAAAAGGGAAAATCAACACCTAAAACTAGTTTCTATTGCATTTGGGGTCCCCAAACAGATGAAATGGTTTCTGACTGGATCTAACAAAAAGAGCAATGGACTCAAGACCAACAGCTAGCTGTCTCTGAAACCAAGAAGCTGAGGGATTGGTGCCTCCCAGGTGGAAGCTGGGAATCTAATACAAGACAGAGGCCTCTGAGGCTGGGTCTTAATCCATCTGATGTCGCCTGTTCTTTGTTAATTAATTTCAGCTTTTCAGAGTGCAGTACTTGGAGTCACTGGAAGCATCAGTGAACAGGTAGACACTGCGGTGCAGCCTTGTTTGGAGAACCTAGTCAACAGCAACAAAGTGGTAAATGTCACAGAGGCACCAATTCAGAACTCAGAGAAAAAAGACAAAGATGGAGAGGAGTGTTAACAGGAGGGGACCTGGAGGTGAGCTCTGCCTGGCGCTGAAGTCCAAACTCAGTCCAAGAGCCCAGCCTGCAGCAAGCCCTCTTGGGGAGGCCACTTATAGGCTGGATTGGTGGGTTTTGTTTGTTTGTTTTTAAACTCTTCCCCCCACCCCCAGGCAATGGAATTCTTCACCAAAGCACATACTCAGGTTGAACAACAAAAGGCTGCTCTGGCTGAAGCACATATGCAAGCCTGAAGCCTCCCTTTCCTCTTTTCCTTGTCCCTCTTTGCACCCATGACCTGGAGGTTCTTCCAAGCAACCTCAGGCAACACAGACACAGCCTGGAAAGTCCAAGCTTGATCACTATCGCCCCCTCGAAATACCCTGGCTGCCCCAGCTTTCCCCACTCCCACCTGCCAGCGTTTCCCCTATAGGTCATCTCGACTGAAGAGAAGAAAGAAAGGCTGGACAGCCAGGACCAGGGTGTTAGGACTGTGGGTAAAGATGAGTGACTCCCTGCTAATGAGTGTCCTAGCAAATGCAAGCCAGGTACAACACGGGACAAGGCTCAGAAATGCGTTCAGTAACAGGGCATCCATGCAAGGACATACAGTGCTTACATTAAAAAGCATGCTTTTCAGAGGATTTCAGTGTTACTGGCATGAGTTCAGTGTAGGATGTTAAGTGGGGAAAAAAAAGAAAAGGAGGATATGATACAGCTCATTACATGAACACACTAAAAGACTGAGAGGAACACACCAAAATGCCAACAGTGACTTCCTCAGAGGGTGGGGTTTTACGCCAAAGTTGAACCATCTCCTTTACATTTCTCAGTACTTCCTACAGTTTCTCAGGGTTACATTATAACCTTGACATGAATTTTAAGGGTGTGCTTCCCTGTGTTGCAGGGGCTCCCACCATCAGTTCCCCCAGCCCCTGAACTGCTCCCCTTGGCCAAGGAGTTTCGCAACAGCATCTGTCCCAGCAGGTTTGCAAGGGGCTTGGGCCCTTACAAGGAGGGTTCTCGCTCCTTGGGACACACTCACGAGTTGTTGTCCCTGAGACTGTCGTCCTCTTCCTCGGGCTCTTCCTCCTCTGCCTCACTACCCTGACTACTGTACACTGCTGACTTCAGAGTGGAAGGGATTTCCTGAAAATATCTGTTGACAATGACTTCCTCAGCATCCTTGTTCTCTCTGTTCATCCAGAAACTCTCCCAACGGCTGTAGACAGTAAATGGTTGTTCACAATCACATCACCTTAAACTACTCTAAAGCTATAATTTCAAAACCTGTCAAGAAGCCCCTGAACCCTACCCGGAAGAACATGGCCACCAGGTACACTGGGCATCCTGCTTCTCATGAATTAAAAATGGTAGCCTGAAGCCACAAAGATATCTGTGGCCACAAAATCAAACAGCAGGAACTGTGAGGTAGGCTAATGGCCTCTGATGGCATTAGACATGTACGATACAGTCTGGACTGAACATTATTCAGGAAAGAGCATAACAAACTGGCATAGGAAAGGCATTCAAGTTAAAGAACCTCCCAAGTCAAGTAGGCACCCACCTATAAGATGACATTGGGGTGCTAATTAAGTCCTTCAGTTTGCCTTCAGAAAACTTTGTGGGGGTGCTGTTGATTTAATATTGTAGGATTATACAAAGAGTATTTAAAGCTATTAGTCCACCCTCAGTGTCATATGGGCATAGAAAGGAGAGCATGTGCAAGATTTGACAAGTCAGATGCCAACTGTGGACGTTTAGGATTTTAGGACATTTGTAGACTTAATTTTGGTTTTTGTGTTTTTTTTGGCATGGGCAGCAGAAAAGATGCATGAAAAGCTGTTTATTAACAAGTGGGCATATATTCTGCCCAGACTTGGAAGGAAGAAGTGAATAAAGGAAAGACAAAAAGCCACAGGAAGGGCTCAGCTATTAATGCATAAGGATGCGGCCCTCCTATCTTGCTCACGCTCTCCTCACACGTGCACACGTGCACACCCCATACTCTTGGGGCTGGCCTAGATAGCTCATCTGTTTGGGCAAATCTCTGGGATTCTTTCCAAAACTCAAGATAGGCTCTTTTAAAATTCCATTCAAGTGGAATGGGTTCCAAAACAGACCAGTCAAGTGAGGTGAGAAGCATTTGTACGGAGACCTCTGGAAGACAGAAAGAACTCAGGCTGCTGAGAAAGCCCTTCCTCCTAATTATGTCTGTCCTAGAAGGAATACAGCCATACAAGTACCTGGAAGGGTTCCAGCAGATGGACCATATCGGGGAGAGGGAGCCCCCCGGCCGCTCAATCTTCACTTTCTCCTCACCATTTTTGTTCCGTATGCTGATGACACCATTGAACATCCCCAGAGCCAGGTACTGACCATCATTCGTCCAGCTGTGCACACAAGTGACAAAATGCAGGAGGAGAGGAAGGGGAACACACAGAAAGCAAAACCAGTGAAGATGACGCCATGGTTTAAAAGAACATCTGTTGAAGCCACAGTGGCTAGTTACGGTGCTATCACTCCTGATCCTGATACAAAATCAGAGCACCTAACAAAACCCCACTTACCTGGAACCAGCAATGAGAAATGAAGGCAGCAGTGCCTTTTCCTGAGCTCCCACAGCCCGCCATGCATCCCTCCATGACCGCCCTTGGCTTTGAAGCAGCCCCACTCCCTACTAGAGCACCTTAGGAATTCACTGAGTGTGGCTGAAGTGAAGGTGATGGACTAGGGACAGACTCTCTGTCTTGGTGATCCCAGCCCCTGGAACTGGGCATGCCTGGCGGGAGGCGTTCAACACATGCTGAGTCCAAGGGCTACACTAAGAAGTGGAGCAGCAGGAAGAGCCGCCCTGACAGAGTGCCTCCTGCACACCAGGTGTCGTGCTGCATGCCTCACACTGGTTAGTTTGTATGTCTTTCACAACAACACTATCAAGTCAGTGTTTTTTTCCCGCATCTGTCAGAGACAAGGAGCCTGAAGCTCTATCTCAGAGGGATTCGGTAGCTTTCCTGAGGTCACAGAGCCTGTCAGTGAGAGAATCTGGATTCTAACCCAGGTCTAGCAAGTCGAAGCCTGTGCTTTCTCCCCAACACACACTGCCCGATGATGGACAGCCTCACATTTCCAGAGAAACTCTGCTTGCTGCCAGGCTTGCTGCCACAAAATGGCAGGAGGGCGACTGCAGAGTCCTCACTGGCGTGAGGGTCACGGGCCCAGGTCTTTCCCAGCAGGAAGACGAGAAAAGCAAAAAAAGAGATTAAAAAAAAAGGCCCAAACCAACTAATTAACCTAAGGCCTTCTCAGCTGTGTGAGATAACGGACTTCTGAGAGCTTCTTCTCCAGAGGCAATAAAGCCTGTCTTCAAAGCTGCCCTTCACCTACCTGCAGCAGGTGATCTTGCTGCTTGATTTATATTTGGTGACAGACTTCTGTTCCGGAGACCACAGCCCTTCAACACACAATAATATAAAAGAAGACACACTGGTTGGAATACACCTTGGCAATGAAAAGGAACAAATTATTGACTCATAGAGCAACCCAGGTGGGTCTCATCTCCAGGACTTTATGCTGAGTGAAAAAGCCAGGCTCAGAAAGTCCTACAATTCTTCATAGCCACTTCTAACAATCTTAAATGATACGATTACAGAAATGAAGATCACATTCATGGTTACCAGGGGCTAGGGACAATAGGAGGTCAGGAGGGTGGGTGTGGTCCTAAGAACTGCTTGTGTGGTGATGGAACAGTTCTGTGTAAGGACAATGGAAACCCACATGTGTGATAAAACGACCAAACCACTTAGCCATCCTGTGCCAGACCCAGTTTCCTGGTTTTGATACATTATATAAGATGCATCCATTTGGGGAAACTGGATGAAGAGTACAGGAGACATCTCTGTACTATCTTCGCAATTGACTGGGAATCTATAATTATTTCTAGAGGAAAAATAAACTGGTGATATTCCAGCCAACTTTTCAGAGACTTAACTCTCAAAGAAATGACAGCTTCTCCAACCGTAACTAGGACACTGGAGCCAGAGCACATCAGTATTCAAAGTAACGAGTTATGCTTTCTGCAAGTCCTGTTTCCTCGCCAGGTCTCCCTGACAGCACATGACCGTAGGTGAGCTGTGCCCCATCCATGGCCCACGGGTCACATTAGGCTTGTTCCTGTCTGCCCCTTGACACCTTGGCTCAGCCCGACAGCACCAGATGTATGCCCACAAAACAAGCACACACTACTCTTTGCCAGAGCTGTGAAGCATGACAAAAAGGGAAATACAATGCACAAATATATTTACACAGCCAGGTGCCTCCTCAAACAAGTTGTTTATTGCCCTTCCCCAGGTTCAGAATGCATCCCCCAAACAGTTCCACCTGTGTACATTATCTGCACTCCACCGAGCCAGCTGGAGGAAACCCCTCCCTCCTGGGCCTCCCTCAGCAGTGCCTGCCACAGCAGCTCTGGACACAGTGCCCTGGCCTGGGTCCAAGCCCTGTTTCTACCTCCTACTGGCAAAGTGACCTCCAGTGATCACCAAACTGCTCTGAGGCCTAGTTCTTTCTCCGCAGTGCAGTGGGAATGAGAATAAAACCTGACCTCTGGGGCTGCCACAGAGCACAGGGCCCAGCACATTGTAAGCATACAACAACATGACGACTGAGTATATCCTTACCAATCCTACCACCCTGCAGGACCACAAGTTTCCTGAGGGTGGGGATTCTATTTTGTTGTTTTAATTCCCAAATGAACCCCTTAGACCAGTGAATCACATGGAGAAAATGCTAACATTTTAAAATAGCAGTCCCTTACCATTCACTTACACAATATGCTTTCAACTCCACCCTCTTTTTGGAACCTCAGTGAAGTAGAGGGGGACAAAGGGGTGGGGCTGCTATGTTCCACTGAATACTGACAGGCTTAGGTCTCTAACTCCACACCTAACAGCTGTGCCAGGGGACCCACAATCTCTCAGCAAGGAAGAGAGAACTCAGAGGGCTGAGAACCTTTAGTAGAGAAAATCTACAAGCCTCTGCCCCATTGCTCTCCCTCCCGCCCCCTCTTCCTCCTTGAAACTTTTCCCTGCCACCCATGGGGCCAGGAGGGACTCCTCAAGGTGTTCCAGCCTCAGGAAGGGCAGTTACAGCCACCTAAACAAGGAACTATGACACACCACACGACCATGCTGACACAGCAAGGAATTTCCCACACACCTGGATGTGGGCAAATGCCAAGCTGGGGACAGGGGAACTGTCCATGCCAGGTGGGTTGGGGAAGGCTTCCGAGAGGTGGCAACGCCAACTTATGCCTGTGCCCTCCATCCTTCTTACCACTTCCTCCCCTGGGGCCCTTGTTATCTCTAAAGTCTTGCCAGACTCAAGGTCATTATTCGGTGTCTTGGATTCTATACAATTTAAAGAACAACTGACAGCCTCCCATGAGTCACTGAAGGTAGAGAAATACTATCAATGCTCAGAGAAAACCACCACCTTCTAAAGAGATTCCAGCCTTTTTTGCCCACATTTTCAGTTATTCCAGGACAAATACTGAGAATCATAACCTACCAAAATCACTGGAGGAGCAAGATGCCAGCTGGTGGGTCACAGGGTTGTAGGACACACACTGGATAGAATCATTGTGCCTGAAGAGCAAACAACTATAGATTATTATACAGCAAACCATAAGTGTCTCAGTGGCTACAAATGAGGATTTTAACAATGCAACCGCAGCCTGACTTCCCACCGCAGGCTCTCCTGCAGGTGACCAACAAAAGCACAGGGATTAATGCTCTGTCTCCTGGCTTGCTTCTCAACCCCACTGCCATTACCTAACCATTATCCTGGCCCAGTTAAAATACCACCTCCTCCAGGGCCATCCTGAGGGACACCTCCAGTGTGTAAACCGAACGAAGGCACCTGGTCTGCTGCCAGGTACAGAGGAAGTGCTCTGGTCGCTGCTTTACTCTTTGTGTTTGCAGAATCCTGGAAATACAGGGTGGTGGTGCCATGAAGACACTGCAGACCAAGATCTGGAAACACAATAAATCTTTAGGTAACAGTGAAAATTCAGAGTCCCATACCACACATGGCATCTTGGCTCCAGTTTTATTCTTTCACTTCTGAGTAACACTTTACCTAGTGTTTCCTCAGTGGTACACCTGTGTGCACAGCAGCATTATGTATGATGACCAAGAGGCGGAAGTCACCAAGTGCTCATCAACACATGAACAGATGAGTAAAACGTGCTCTCTCCCTACAACAGTGTATTATTCAGCCTTAACAAGGAAGGCTATTCCGACACAAGCTACCACATGGAGGCAGCTGGAGGACATTATGCTAAGATCATAAAAGGACAAATGACTGCACTCATATGAGATACCCAGAACAGTCTAATTCGAGGAGCACAAAGTAGAATGGTTGGCGCCAAAGGCTGGAGGGAAGGGGAAAGGGAAACTGTTTTAAGTAGGTGTAGAGTTTTACTTCTGCAAGATAAGAGCTTTTGGAGACGGGTTGTACAAAGTGACTGTACTTCATATTCTACTGAGCCGTACACTGAAAATGGTTAGGATAACATTTTATGTCAGGTACATCTTACCACAGTTAAAAAACAAAGAAAACTGTTGAGTACGTACTATGGACCAGGCACTGCACAAGACACCAGAGACCAAAGAGTGAACAAAAACACATGCAGTGTCTGCCTTGTTGGAGTGCACAGGCTGATATGGATGAGTCACCAGCACAAATGCAAAACTACAACTGCTGCCAATGCCACAGCGAACCCCGCTCCGGGCGGGCAGAGCAGGACGGGCTTCTCAGAGGCAGCGCCATCTGAGCCGGGGTCGACTGGGAAAGTGGAGGTTAACTTATGGAGGGAGGGGGACCATGAACAGAGCCCCAACAGTGAGAACGGCCTGGAGCACTCGGACCCTCAACTTCTGGCTTTTACTACGGGTGGATGTGAGACCACTTCCTGAGATGGGGACACCGAGAGGACAGCGTGGGGGTGGGATGGGACGTGCCCATTCGGATTAACTGAGAGGAGCAAAAATCCCCAGCCAGGCGCTGAGCCAACCTGGCAAGTGCTCAAGAAATGCTCAAGAAATGCTCATTCACTTAGTCCCTAAACCCACCCTCCCCCATAACTTATTATCAAATTCAATTTCAGAGAAAAAAGTTCTTCCTCACAGCCTTTCTAAGGGGCTTTTGCTACTATTCCTGTGTCAAACGAACAACAGCACACACCTAAATGGTGACTTACGTGTACTTCAAGATGCCTTCCAGCTTGGATGTCCAAATAATAACACTTTTGTCAGCTGATCCAGAAGCAAAGCGCTTGCCTAAAAGTGTTTTTGAAAAGAAAATCCTCACATGTATTTCAAACCAGAATTTCCCAAAGAGTTCTTAAAAAAAAAAAAAAGACCAGTCCTTTAAGTACCTAAGTGTCAGCTCTTTCTCAACTACTTGTTCTAAGTTCTAGGAGGAAGGACCATGGAGTTGGAACATTTGGGTTCAAAGCCTGCTCTGCAGTGAGCAAACCAGATGCACGGAGGGCTACCGCATGCAGGTATTGGATTCTGCGCCCAGAGTGAGCTGTGATTAAAACACACATGGCTGCTCTCAGGGCATTTAGTCCAGCAAAGAAGCAGCCATTCAAATGAATGAATCCACCACAAATGAGACATGGCAGGAAGACGCGAGTCTGATGAAAGAACTGGGGACCTCATTTATTTACTAAACCACAAAATCAACAACAGGAGTCACTGTACACTTGCCCCCCATGTAGGATCTCTGTCCTTAATGTGTTGTACTATGCAAATTAACGGTAAAACTACTACTCAAACAGTACTTTATACTTTGTGTATCTGTGCAGGTGCAAACTGTTGAAATCTTAGTATATACCAAGTTGATCTTCTATATGTTAAGATAATTGAATATGAATCTTGATGAAGAATGGGATGGGAGAGGGAGTGAGAGATGCGATGGTTCGGATGGGAGGGAAAGCCACTATAATCCAAAAGTTGTACTTTTGTAATTTATATTTATTAAATAAAAGTTTAAAAATAATATTTATTAAACCACAGACAACAAAGGATCCTCCTTCCCTTGCTTAACAGCATGCTTCCTTTAGCTGCCCATACTGTCATACTGACAGCCCCTAAAAGTCACCTGCCTGCCCACTGCAACCTGCCCTCCCCCAAAAGTAATCTTTTGTAAAAATCTGTGGAACTGTCTTTTGGGGTCTCTGATATAACCAGACACAAAAGGCTGCATACAATATTGTAACCAGAGCCTGAGCAGGCTGACTCTGACTGAATGGAGAGTAGCTGAATGATTAATTATAATGTGTCTTTTTTCCTTCAGTTTTTAGATTAAAAATAAAAATTATTTGAAAGGCAGGGTGACAGAGAAAGAGAGGAAGGAAGGAGAGATCAAACTTCCACCTTCTGGTTCACTCTCCAAATGCCCATAACAGCCAGGACTGGGGAAGGCAGAAGCCAGGAGCCTGGAACTTCATCTGGATCTCACACATGGGTGGCAGGGACCTAAGTACCCCAGCCAACAGCTGCTGTATCTCAGGGTGCACACAGCAGAAGGACAGTTTGGAAAAGTAAGCAGGACTCAAGCCTAGGCATTTCAACATGGAAAGCATGGGTTCCAAACAACAGCTTAACCACCCCACCACCATGCCTGCTGCTGGTTCATTACAATGCTGACACCTCTGATGATGAGTCAGCAGCCAGCTCTGAGCATGCGATGGACGTAAAGGCCTGAGTTATCATGGCGCTTGCTCAGAAGGCGTTCTGCAGCCCTTGCCGCTGCACCTATCACCTTCTGTCACTTAGTTTTGCCCAGTTACATCCCATTTACCCTAACTCCATAAATTCCCAAACCCCGTTCTGAACGATGAGACTGATTTGGGTTTTGATGTTATCTGCCCCATCTCCCTGCAGGCCTGGAATCATAATAAATGTCTCTCTCTCAAAAGATGAATTCAGTGCTCTCATAACAGTAGCAGTGTGCATGCATGCAGGTGGGCGTGTGGTAAAACAACATTTACATTTTTTTTAAGATTTATTTATTTAGAGTTAGAGAGAGAGAGAGAACCTCCACCTGTGGTTCACTCCCCAAAAGGAAACAATAGCCAGGGCTGGGCCAGAGCAAAGTCAGGAGCCTAGAGCTCCAACCAGACCTCCCATGTGGGTAGCAGGGGCTCAAGCACTCAGGCCATCATCTGCTGCTTCACCAGGTGTGTCAGCGGGAACTGGATGGGAAGCGGAGCAGCCAAGACTCAAACCTGTGCTCAAATAGGATGCCTGCATCACAGGAAGCAGCTTAACCCACTGTGCCGCAACACCGGCCTCAACACTTGGATTTTAATTTGACAAATAATAATTGCACATACTTATGGATACAATGTGATCTTTTGATACATGTATACATCATACAATGCTCATATCAAGCTAATTAATATATCACATCAGAAGCTTATTTTTTTGTAGTGAGAACAGTTAACATTTATTCTTTCAGCAATTTTGAAGTATATGCTATTATTGACTATGGTCACCATGCTGTACAACAGACTTCAAAAGCCTATTCTTTTTGCCCGGCTGAAACCTTATACTCTTTGGTCAACATCTCCAGGATGACCTAACTGAGATGACAGTACAATGGAAAAGATGAGCGGAGCTTGGCCAGGTGCAAAGAGAGAAGGGTTTATCCACATGGTAGAAGAGATGTGCAAAGGCCCAGAGGCAGGAAAAGCAAAGCATAACTGAGGAGTGTAGGGGAGCCAGCATGGAACACTGAGAACATAGAGTAAAGTGGGTAGTAGAAGGACCTCCAGGGGCTTTAGGGCCACAACAGAGATCTTGCCCTTTATCACAAAGCAGTGGGAAGCCAAAGAAATGATTTAAGCAGAGGTTTATATTCACAAACCACCTGGGCTTCATGAGAGAAAGGACTGGAAACAGGCAGTCTACAATGAGTACGGACTTATTCCACTGTTACAGGTTTACAAACAGTCCAAAGAGGATCAGGGCATCCCACAGCAAACACTGGGGAGCCCTCGAATACTCTGCAGAGTTGAGCATGGCCAAGTTTTGCCAGCTTGTTAAGAACTGTTAGACTCCAGCCGGCGCCGCGGCTCACTAGGCTAATCCTCTGCCTAGCGGTGCCAGCACACCGGGTTCTAGTCCCGGCTGTGGCGCAGCATCTATATGGCCCGGTTGCTCCTCTTCCAGTCCAGCTCTCTGCTGTGGCCCGGGAGGGCAGTGGAGGATGGCCCAAGTGCTTGGGCCCTGCACCTGCGTGGGAGACCAGGAGGAGGCGTAGCTCCAACCGTAACGGCCATTTGGGGGGTAAACCAACGGAAGGAAGACCTTTCTCTCTGTCTCTCTCACTGTCAAATAAATAAAAAAAAAGAATGCTAGTGACATCACTGACCAGCTGTGTGACCTGCAATGATCTACTGACTACCTCTCTGCTTTCATTTCCTCATCTGAAAAAAGGATACAATATTTGCATTTACCGGCAGAGTTAATATGAAGATTAAAGGACCACACACACACACACACACACACACTGGATCATACCAAGTGTTCACAACATAGAATCAATGCTTTAAAAAATTAGCTATTATTACTATTATTTCCAAGTTGTTTTATGTTGTTTCCCTTGAATAAAAAGTAACAAGATTTTATCTTTGTAGCATGGTTGCTCAATAAATACTTAATAAATTTAAGGCAGAATTCGGAATAAGCAGACTTAAACAGCACACTGAAATTACCTTGTGTCTCAATTTTCAGGGGGGAAAAGACCAATTTAGAGGAATCCAAAGACTTCAGTCATTACATAAGCGTCATTAGTACCTAGGGCTCTGCAGTGGGAGGCCCGGGCTGAGGCCTAGCTCTGCCCTCAAGATGGCTCCAAACCTGTCTTCTCATCTGCAAGACAGGCAGGAACCCTTATGCTTCCCAGGGTTGCTGGGCTGTTCAAAGGGTCAGATGAGAAAGCATATCAGACAAGGCTCTGCAAAGTACTGTCCAAATGCCTCTGTGGGCAGGTCATACTCCAACATCCTCCAGGGCCTTAACAGTGTTACAAGTCAAAGAGCCCTCTAGACTTAGGAACTCCTGAGGCCCACCAGCCTAGCTGTACCTCCTGAGCCTTCTACAAGGCCCTGGACTGGTTCATGTCCCTAGGGGACTTCCAGGACGTAGCAAACAGTTTAGCTCTCTAGGTTCCCTGTTACAGGTCTTCCAATACTACCATGAACTTGAACTCAAACGTGAACCAGAAAAATGTGACCACCATGGTACAGCACTCCTTACTATGAGGCAAGAAATCAGTATTATACTGTTGGTATCAAGTTGTTGAATGATCTTGGCAAGTTACTTGCATTCTCCACGTCTTTATATAGATCTAACGTGAACAGATTGCATGAATCAGACCATAACTACACGTATGACATTTTGTATACCTATGAAGTAGGTGCATTTTGCTAGAGAGGGGTCTGTCTATATATAGCTTTCATCTGACTGTCAAAGAGGTCCAACATCCAGAAGTCACAAAGCTGGGGCCTGAATGATCTCCCGGGTTTATCCAAGCACATTCTAATTCCGTGCCCTCTCAGCAGCAGTTCCAGACGTCATCTCTAACTCCACATTCCCTGATACATGAGGAACTTGAGACCGAGAGAGGCTCCATGACTAGACCTAACTCAGAGCTTCTGGGGTTAGAACTCAGAGCTGTCTTGTTCCAAGTCCACGTTCCTTCCACTGACACTATTCTGTGGGGTAGCAGCAATTCTTTTTAAATTCTCAATTTCAATTTCAAGCACCCATTCTCTGGCCAACACCTTCCCACCTTCTCAACTTTCCTAGTGCCCCTTGAGCAAGAATCCTTCAACCTCACCTACCACGTCTCCATTGCCCCTCATGCTCCAAGGTTCCCCTCTCCCCTCATTACTCAGGAGACATGTCAAGGCCAATGTATGTAATCACTCTTTTGTATACACCCTCTGCTCCCTTGCCCTCTCCTTTCACTTGGTGATGTGAAGGTAGAGAGCACCTGCAAAACCACTAATCCAGTTAAATCCAACACA